TGGGTGAAGGGTGGCGGGGGTATCGGTTATTTTTTTTTTTTTGCATTCATAACGAGTTTTTTTTTTTAATTATTGGTTTGTTGTAATGCCATCTGTCAGGTTTGCCGAGAACTCTATCATTGTTATTGGCATGGACTAACACACGTAGTTTTTTTTCTTCTGCTGAGTAGACTTTAATTTTTTAAATTCTCATTACAATGTGGCGATTACAACCAAAACCCAATTAGTTTAGCCTTTTGTCATATATTATTTACTAACCTATAAGTAAACATTAATGACCAAACATTCATCGAATTCATGAAAAGATGATAAACACATACAATCAAGTTTTCATGATTCTAATGATACTGAGTGCAAATCATTTGTTGCAATAATTAACTTTCAGTTCGAAATGTTGATATTACAAAATTTTTGGGTTGTGTTCTTATATCACTGTAGATGAGTTCAAATCGTTTATCTAGTTTTTGGGGTAGCAGTTCAAAATCAAAGTTAAATTAGGTTCTGTAGCGGGGATCTACATCCTAGACTGACAGGTAGAACGTTAGATGTAGGTAGTTTGGTTAAGTGAGGGATATATTGTGTGGGGGGGGGGGGATGTTGACGTCAGCAAATACTGGGTTCAGTGAGGGAAATGTGGGAGCAAATCACGTCAGCAAATCACAAAGGTACAACACAACAGCGCGTGGACACACACCCGTGGGAGCCAAGTTTCAAAAAAATAAATAAATCCGCTAGCCTGACTGTCAACGACAGGTGGGGTGGACGGGGTGGGGCGCTAGCGTGGGAGTGGGATACCTGTTGGTGACAAGAGATCCCGGGGTCAGCGCGCGGGTCACGGCCAGCCAAGAATGGCCGGCTGTCCTCCCATCTACATCTGACAAGTTTCCGTGAGAACTCGGCTGTGGGAATGTTTTCTCGTGGGTCAAAGGTCATGTGGGGGTGGGGGGGTGAGAGGTCGGGGTAAGGCTAGAGTTAATTCTTGTCGGTTCCCCCAAGCAATACCTCGGGTACTACGGTACCCAGGGCTGTCTGTACACTGCTATGGTGCTCACACTAAGATTGTACTGTGTCGTCTATGCGGGTTGTACCCAGAATATAAATGTGAGAACTGACACAAACAAATGTACAGCTTTTATTTCATGGTGTAACAAAACTTACTTGTCTAATTGAACTGGAAGTATCAGCGTCATTAGAAATGCGAGTCGGTACATAATGGTGATGTAGGTTCGTGTAACGTTTGGTGCTCTAGGTTTGTGTAACGTTTGATGCCGTAGGTTTGTGTAACGTTTGGTGCTGTAGGTTTGTGTAACGTAGTTTCTGTAGGTTTGTGTAACGTTTTTGTGCTGTAGGTTCATGTAACGTTTAGTGCTGTAGGTTTGTATAACGTAGGTTATGTAGGTTCTTGTAACGTTTGGTGCTGTAGGTTCGTGTAACGTTTAGTGCTGTAGGTTCGTGTAATGTTTGGTACTGTAGATTTGTATAAGGTAGGTTCTTGTAACGTTTGGTGCTCTAGGTTTGTGTAATGTTTGGTGCTGTAGGTTTGTGTAACGTTTGGTGCTGTAGGTTTGTGTAACGTTTGGTGCTGTAGGTTTGTGTAATGTTTGGTGCTGTAGGTTTGTATAACGTTGGTGCTATTGGTTCTTGTAACGTTTGGTGCTCTAGGTTTGTGTAATGTTTGGTGCTGTAGGTTTGTGTAACGTAGTTTTTGTAGGTTTGTGTAACGTTTTTGTGCTGTAGGTTCATGTAACGTTTAGTGCTGTAGGTTTGTATAACGTAGGTTATGTAGGTTCTTGTAACGTTTGGTGCTCTAGGTTTGTGTACTGTTTGGTGCTGTAGGTTTGTATAACGTAGGTTCTTGTAACGTATGGTGCTGTAGTTTTGTATACCGTAGGTTCTGTAGGTTCTTGTAACGTTTAGTGCTCTAGGTTTGTGCAAAGTTTGGTGCCGTAGGTTTGTGTAACGTTTAGTGCTGTAGGTTTGTGTAAAGTTTGGTGCCGTAGGTTCGTGTAACGTTTGGTGCTGTAGGTTTGTGTAATGTTTGGTGCGGTAGGTTTATAGGACGTAGGTTCTGTAGGTTCTTGTAACGTTTAGTGTAGGTTTGTGTAACGTACAAAATAATACACCTTCACGAAACAGCAGAACTGGGTATACCAACGTCATTATCACATGCATCCTGTATGGTATGTGCTACTGTACTGTATCACATTTAGTGCACTAAGTTCAGTATCACTTGCCAGAATGTTTGGTAAGTGCTACTGTACTGTATCACATTTAGTGCACTAAGTTCAGCATCACTTGCCAGAATGTTTGGTAAGTGCTACTGTACAGTATCACATTTAGTGCACTAAGTTCAGCATCACTTGCCAGAATGTTTGGTAAGTGCTACTGTACAGTATCACATTTAGTGCACTAAGTTCAGTATCACTTGCCAGAACGTTTGGTAAGTGCTACTGTACTCTATCACATTTAGTGCACTTAGTTCAGTATCACTAGCCTGAATGTTTGGTAAGTGCTACTGTACAGTATCACATTTAGTGCACTAAGTTCAGTATCACTTGCCAGAATGTTTGGTATGTGCTACTGTACTGTATCACATTTAGTGCACTAAGTTCAGTATCACTTGCCAGAACGTTTGGTAAGTGCTACTGTACTGTATCACATTTAGTGCACTAAGTTCACTTGCCACAACGTTTGGTAAGTGCTACTGTACTGAATAACGTCAATTTTCTTTTAGGCATTACTGCCTCACCCCCCCCCCTTCCCCGCCCGTCTAAATGGGGAAAAAAATTATATTTAAAATATATATTTTAACTGGCGTCCTTTCCGCTCCCCCCCCCCCCTCCACCTCGAAAGTTTTAAGTCCCCCCCCCCCACACACACACACATGAACCCTTGATTTTAAAGACATCCCTTTTTGGTTGAACATCAACCACAAACTTTACATAACAGAAGCTTGATATATACATCACATAACAATATTACAATGGCAAGATACCAGAGTTATACTTCAATCACATTCCTTTGTTTGATTCTTTTAGTGGGGAGGGAGAGAGGGGGCTGGATGCAACACACCAATCACTCAATAATAAAACGGGTTCAATGCCCCCATTTCAATTCACTATTAGTACGGATGTATTGTCTATTTCACCCGATAGTTCTTTCAATCTGCTATAGGATTATTCAATAAAGAGTGCATGTTGAATTGGGTTCAAGTTGAAAGAGATTTTTTTTCCCAGAACGTTTGTAGAAATCTGTAGCGTCTTCATGCATGGATATACGTCCAATTAGGTTGTACGACTAGGTCCCACTAGACAGTTGTTAAATAAAGATTTAGGCTAGGTCCCACTAGACAGCTGTTACATAAATATTTCGACTAGGTCCCACTAGACAGCTGTTACATAAAGATTTAGGCTAGGTCCCACTAGACAGCTGTTACATAAAGATTTAGGCTAGGTCCCACTAGACAGCTGTTACATAAAGATTTAGGCTAGGTCCCACTAGACAGCTGTTACATAAAGATTTAGACTAGGTCCCACTAGACAGCAGTTACATAAAGATTTAGGCTAGGTCCCACTAGACAGCTGTTACATAAATATTTAGGCTAGGTCCCACTAGACAGCTGTTACATAAATATTTAGGCTAGGTCCCACTAGACAGCCGTTACATAAAGAGTAAGGCTAGGTCCCACTAGACAGCTGTTACGTCAAGATTTAGGCTAGGTCCCAATAAACAGCTGTTACATAAAGATTTAGACTAGGTCCCACTAGACAGCTGTTACATAAAGATTTAGGCTAGGTCCCATTAGACAGCTGTCTGTTACATAAAGATTTAGGCTAGGTCCAACTAGACAGCTGTCTGTTACATAAAGATTTAGGCTAGGTCCCACTAGACAGCTGTTACATAAATATTTAGGCTAGGTCCCACTAGACAGCTGTTATATAAAGATTTAGGCTAGGTCCCACTAGACAGCTGTTACATAAAGATTTAGGCAAGGTCCCACTAGGCAGCTGTTACATAAAGATTTAGGCTAGGTCCCAATAAACAGCTGTTACATAAATATTTAGGCTAGGTCCCACTAGACAGCTGTTACATAAAGATTTAGGCTAGGTCCCACTAGACAGCTGTTACATAAATATTTAGGCTAGGTCCCACTAGACAGCTGTTACATAAATATTTAGGCTAGGTCCCAATAGACAGCTGTTACATAAATATTTAGGCTAGGTCCCACTAGACAGCTGTTACATAAATATTTAGGCTAGGTCCCACTAGACAGCTGTCTGTTACATAAATATTTAGGCTAGGTCCCACTAGACAGCTGTTACATAAATATTTAGGCTAGGTCCCACTAGACAGCCGTTACATAAAGATTTAGGCTAGGTCCAACTAGACAGCTGTCTGTTACATAAAGATTTAGGCTAGGTCCCACTAGACAGCTGTTACATAAAGATTTAGGCTAGGTCCCTCTACTCTGCTTGCTAGTGTTAGTAGTTGTTAAAAAATACATAGAAGGATTAAGTTGCTAAAAGACTTAAAGGTTAAGTTTACAAACAAAATATTAAATATCGGGTTCAGGTAAAGAGGAAGGATGTCGACAGGTAAACATGTAGGTTATGGTTACAATTATAGTAGGACAAATCAACAAACATAATTTGATCGGCCTTTCTAACGTTTCAACAACTGGGGAATAATCAGCAGAAGTCTAGGATCGGCTATGCTTAATAATTCACGCAAGATGGAATCGTCCATAAAAATATACCCAAATACCGATTCCAGGCCGTGTATTCGATACCTGTGTTGACGAAATTTGATTCATAAAAGCTGCAACATTTGAGAGGGGGGGGGGGGGGGGGGGGGAGGGGGGCGCAGAGAGAAGACACTAGTGTAGTAAAAATCCAGCCAAGTCTGGCTGACTAGGTGGCTTTTTTTTTTTTAAACGGCACAACGGTTTGAGGGAGGGAGGGGCAGGGCTGGTGAACTGACCAGGTGGAGTGGCGGATGAATCGAGAAGTGTGGGAGCGAGGGCCGCCACTACAAGTCTGCCGTCAGTAGATTCTACTACGCGGAGGGACTCCCTCTCTCTCTACCTGTTGCGAGAGATGTGTTGACAAAAAGCTTTCAGAGATATTATATAAAAATATATATATACACCGTGATTCATTGAAAATACGAAACTTTTTTAGTTAACCGGAGTGTGGACCATTTTATCTGTGTGTTTCATTCATGTCTTTGGAAATATTCTTTAATTTCACCCCTACCTGTGATTTTTAAATTAGAATTGTTAAAATCTGCAGCTTGTTTAAATTTGAAGGTAATTTCGGCAATTCTGTTTTATACTTTGTAGTTTGGTAACAAAAAGTTGAACACTGGGAATTCAAATCTCGTTATCCGCAAGGGTTGTTCGCTTGTTTGCATATTTCCCCCTCCCCCTCTTTTCCCTATCATACTTTTTTCCCCACTTGTTAGTTAAACTATCTTGACGTAATTCCCCCCCCCCCCCCCCCTTCCCTAATATTAATCGCCTTTTATTGTTTCCTTCTCTAGCCCACAGTAAAGTATAAGGGGGAGGTGGTGGTGGATGTTCCATTGTTTTGTTCTCAAGTCAAGTTCCTCGACGTCAAGTTTTTTGTCTGTTTTTAGGAGGGGGGGGGGGGCTGCATTATCCTGTACCTGAAGCCACTCCTTTCAAATTAGTTTTGAACTTTTATTGTAGGATTTGTTAAAATACTGTACTTAAGTTTTTATTTTTACTACACCGGCTGTCACTAGTGTTATTTAATTACATTTTTAAAAGCCATTATAACTGTTGTTAATTTTAACCATTTTAACCATTGTCAATAGAGCGGTAAACGTCACCAGTTCGTACGTCACCGTTGATACGTCAACGTTGATACGTCACCCTTAATGCTCATATTTGAGGCAAGAAGTTTTGGATGCATGACGTGGCTTTCGTCCCAAAAAAATGTCCCCTCCCCTACGACGTCTCAATTTTAAACCGTTTAAAAAAACAACCAAATTGTAACTCAACATGTTTAAAATTACTGTAATTTTTACCGAAACCAACATCTTTAAAAATGTTTGTGTAAGATAGAGTGGTCAGCACTATGCCTAACCGATAGAGTGGCCAGCACTATGCCTAAAGTGGCCAACACTATACATAGAGTGATCAGCACTATGCCTAACCGATAGAGTGGTCAGCACTATGCCTAACCGATAGAGTGGTCAGCACTATGCCTAACCGATAGAGTGGTCAGCACTATGCCTAACCGATAGAGTGGTCAGCACTATGCCTAACCGATAGAGTGGTCAGCACTATGCCTAACCGCCTCTACATTCCCAAGACTCGAACCGGTACCAATCAGGACGGGCTGTGGAGTCCTGCGACTATAGCGAGAGAACCGAACCAGGGACATTCGGATATGCATAGATAATGCCCCAGATTTCTATTATACACATCTGGTCTGAAACGGTATTCTTAACTTATTTTTTAATAAAACCAAATTTTAAATAATGTTGAACACGATACATACAACTAATGTAGTTAACGTTTTAATTAGTAGAATACAAGCAGGTAACTAATTGCCCCAGCGTTTGTTTCTTGTACTACTTGTAGTGATGTCTTCACATGGTGAAAATTAGTTTAATTATCGATATAAATTTTCTTTTGATATCTCTTTTTCGTGATAAAAGATTATGATTAATGACACATATCAAAAGCATATTCCATTTCAGTAATTAATTGTACGCGTTTTCTCGTTAATGTAATATTAATATCATGAATGCATTCGTATTGATAGCTGTATTTTTCGTTGGAAACAATTTTCTTCCCTTTAACGCCTAGTCTAGTTTTTATATACCCACAATTTTTTTAAATCTGGAGAATCTTAATTATTGCAGCAGTTTTAAAGCATGACACCACGTTTAAATATAAAGGAAAAGCCTTATATCCTATAATTCAACCTTCCATTAACGTTTAATATTTAATTTAAACCGTGTTGCCATTTTTAACAGCGAACAACGCCTGAATCCTACAACCATTTTTTTAAACAGTGAACAAAGCTTACACCGAAAATTTTTCAAACAGTGAACAAAGCTTACACCGAAAATTCCCGATTTTTCTGCGTGAGTAAGGCAACTGTTGCTCATTTCCGATGCCACCCCCTCCTCCCCTGCACGGAGGAACATATACACCGTAACTTTTGAGTTCTTCGCTGCCGTCTGCTCTGTTCGGTTTTACCAGTGTGTGACATCACTTCCGGGCCAGTCTACAGAGGGATGCTACTCTGGAAAAAATAAAAACTTAATTGGCCTGGTTTACTTAATCGTTGAGAAATAGAATACTAGAATGGGTTAACTTGTAGATGTGCCGTCATTTTCTAAAATAAAAGTCGGATTGACCAAACGGGCGCGGCGATACAGACATGGGGTTTATTTTTACACCCTGACGTCATCTTATACCGAAATTATCTTTCGCGTCACGCGAACGAAAATAAAAAAAAAAGTATAATGTATCTTCTGGACAGGTGGGGTTTTTTTTGTTTAAAAATAAAAACATTTTCAGTCTCTAATACAGCCTTTTTTAAAATGTATTAAATACGTTCTAAGTGTACAAAGTTTCTTTTTTCAACTGCACTTTTAAAATGTTCTGATACTAGTTTTTAAAATGTTTAGATTAAGATGTTTATGTTTAGAGAAAGCGGACTAAAGATGTCCTGGCAAAATCACCAAATGAATTTTTTTAGGGGGGGGGGGGGGGAGTCCAGACAGTATTTTGGCAAAGTGGTCTGAAGTTGCCCCGAAAGGCCAACTAAATGTTGCTTTGACGTAACGGCTTACCTTAGCACTGACAGCGAACCGCAGCAAATATATGTGTCATCGTTCCGGAAATTTTTCTGTTGCTTCGGTTCACAAGAGTAGTGTTAGTGTAGGTGTGCGGGTTGTTTATGTAGCGCTGTGTGGGGCACTTGCAATAGTGGTATATATTTGTGGCACTTCTAATAGTGGTAAATATTTGTGGCACTTCAATAGTGGTATATATTTGTGGCACTTCTAATAGTGGTAAATATTTGTGGCACTTCTAATAGTGGTAAATACTTGTGACACTTCTAATAGTGGTAAATACTTGTGGTAGTTCCAATAGTGGTAAATACTTGTGACACTTCTAATAGTGGTAAATACTTGTGGTAGTTCCAATAGTGGTAAATACTTGTGACACTTCTAATAGTGGTAAATATTTGTGGTAGTTCCAATAGTGGTAAATATTTGTGGCACATCTAATAGTGGTACATATTTGTGGTACTTCCAATAGTGGTAAATACTTATGGAACTTCCAATAGTGGTAAATATTTGTGGTACTTCCAATAGGTGTAAAAGCGTGTGGTTCTTCCAATATGGTAATTACATGTCATTGTTGTTCTGCCAATAGTCACAGTTGTAAATATGTATGGTACTTTCGACTGTTGTAAAAGGCATGCTGTGCTTCTAATTTCTATATTTTGTAATACTCTACTTTACTCTACGTGTTCACCTTTTTAAACAAGATGGACTTATAGATGTCTTTAATTAACCGACCTACTATTCGTTGTTCAAACACTTTATTAATATTGTGTCCAAACAGTTTTTTGTGTTGTTGCAATATATTGTTTCAAGGCATCGAAAGTCTATTAGGATGGGACACAATTTTAAAATTTAAATGTTCTATTATCAATCCTTTGTGTTTTCCATGGTGAAGTTTTAATTGCTATTTTAAAGGCGAATTTACTTTAACACAAAGAGTTTTCATTTTCTCGTCCTATTATTTAGTCCTATTATTGTTATAACACTTGCCCTTTTATTATTTTCTTAAGTTGATACTGCGGAAAATGAAACTCTTAATAGAGATGGTTTAGACTGTTGTTTGACATAAACTTTTGGTGATCTGTAGATTAAAAGCAATGGTTTTACTTTGTGTGCCGATTTCTCTTTGGATTTGAAAACATGCACTGTCTGTGTTCAAAAAAAGTACGGACATAAAACTGATCTTAAACGAAGCAGAAGGAATTTTATTTGAGTCCGAGTTGGAGTAGAACCCCGGACCATGCACGAGCTCTCCGCCAGCCAGCACCAGATGTTTCTCTCGCTGGTCGCCTCGGCTAGCCGGCCCATGCAGCACCCCTACCATCTTGACGCTCCCGACTACAGCCGGAAGTCAAACTTTCCTGACGACAGGGGCCACCCGGCTCTGTGCCAGAGGGTCAAGGACACGGAGCTGGTTGGGTACTCTGACCTGGCCGCTCACTACAGGTACTCGGACTTGTTGTACGCCAACAGGCTGGCCGCCGAGCCCGGCGCCCTCAACTTTCCCCTGTGGAGATCCTACGAGGTGACCACTGGCTCGCTGGCCCGGCGACCCAACCCTGGCGTCAGCGATCTCCCCGCGTTATCCGGACCTCTCTCGCTGCTGCCCTCCAAATCTCTACTGGCCACGTCATCCAGCGCGGACATGTCGCCCGCGTCCCCATCCTCATCACCGCCATCCCCGCACCGCCGGGCGTCGCTCAGCCCGGACTGGAACCGCGGACCCTTGCACGCCGAGGCCCGGCATTTGACTCTGTACGAAGAGCGAGTCCTGCAGGAGCACATGGCGTTAAACTGTCTAGCGCCGTCCCCGGCTCTATGGCGCTTGTATAGGCCCGGGCCGTTGACCGCCCCGCCACTGATAAACATGTGTGGGCCCCCGGGGGACATGTTTGAACATTATCTGCCCTCCCCATCGAACCAACGCCAGCTTCATGGATATATCCCGAGACATCATCTTTACAAAGGTACGTACAACGATAATTCTTGGTTCCGGTGGGCCCCAGGCGTCCGCCTACGCAGCCCCTCGCTTCTGACCCTGACCCATTCACATAGCCCATTGTCGAATTCCTCAACACAAAAACCTAAAGTTAACAATCTGAAACTCATAACCCACAGTTAAAAATTTGTTAACAACTTCTAGTTACCTATTCCAAAGCTGGATTTAACGTTAAACCGGTAAAACATAGCTGAACACTTTAAACCAGACCAGCTTATCCTAACCTTTATCAGCCCATTCGCATTCCTCCCACTCCGTTTTATCCCTGCATTATAGTTAAGCAGTATTGATTTTCTCGAAAATTGCCGGTGCACTCAACTGTATTTATGATGTACAATAGCTTGAAAGCAGCTTGTAGTAAACTAAACGGAAACGTTTTTGTACATCTCTTGTACATCCTACTTGTGTGTCCAGTAGATCGATGTCATTTCAGTGCCAATGGTTGCAGCTGTTTCTACACTGAGAGCTGCGGACCAGCGCTCTGAAGACACGGGTTAAAGTAATATGTGCAGTGGATTGCAGTGTTTCTTTCAGACTTTTTACTCCGGCGGAGGGGGGGGGAGCATTTGAACACCCTATTTCGTTGGGGGGGGGGGGGGGCGGTAGACGTACTTCGGGAAGGGGATGACCCCCCCCCCTCCTCTCTCGAAGAGATACCTGAAAGAAACGGTTGAAAGGCTATCGTACTTTTTCGTTCCTTTAAAGTATAGACCAATATGATTTATGTTTATATTAAACTATTCAGTTTCGGGTTTTAAAAAAAGGGAATCGGTTGGGAAGGCGCTAGTATTTTTTTTTATGTGAAGCGTAGTGATGAACATGGTGGGAACCGCTGACCTCGTCTATGTGGTTTGTGTTACAGATATCAAATGGATGATTCTAATATAACATATTTTTGTTGTTTAGCTACCTTTTGTTGGTAGTTAATTGTACTACAAGTTTTCAGCTATTTGCAGTTGTAAAACAAATTGTACCGAGACTTGCCGTACCTTGTACATTGTCACACTTGTTCTGTGTTCACAAGCCACTTATTAGTCACCACACCGGAAAAAAATGGGTTGTTGTTTTTTTAAAACTCCGACATAAAACTACTTTTAACGTGCGAATTAAAAGTGTATTCCTGTTGAGTGGTTAACTTCGTGGCCCCTATACCAGATGGTTTTACTAAAATAGCTCGTGTTTCTGCTTTTTTAATTAGCGCTCCAAAGCTTAATTAGCGGGGCTAAACTTGTAGGACAATGCTAGGTGACATGAGATTAGTTTCAGAACTCATGTTGGGCTTTGTTTTTATTTGTTTTAAAGATAGGTGCGGATTACGTATGACGTCAGACATTACTGCGTAGACTTGTGACGTACACGAACACGTCAGAGCTTGGCGGGCGAGCGTGTGAGTGGGTGGTTTAGCTTACAAAGCAACAATTGATTGTTTTTTTTTCAATCTGTATGTGTGAGAGAGCTTTTAAGTGTGGTTTGGGAGAGCGGGGGGAGGGGGGATAAGCAAGGGATTGAGCGGTTATATTTCACGTGAATGTGACACTGTAGCCCCGACCTTGAGGACTAATTAGACTGGTGTATGTGTTGTGTCTGGTGTGTGTTTCGGTGAAATGGTGTGTGCACGCGGTGTCCGGGACGTGGTTTTCTCGTGTTTATACCTGGCTGCTGGCGAGCATTGTCTGCGAGCATTGCTTGTACGTATTGTACGGTTAAACAAGCCTGTGAGCTGGATGGGGAAACTTCAAAGTTCGGACTCAACCTTCGCTGTTGGAAGAATATATTGGGTATTCCTTTCTAACCACTGGACACAACTACTCAACAACTGGACAAACCTCCCCAACAACTGGACAAGCCTCCCCAACTACAAAACAAGCCTCCTCAACAACTGGACAAGCCTCCCCAACTACAAGACAAACCTCCCCAACAACTGGACAAGCCTCCCCAACTACAAGACAAGCCTCCCCAACAACTGGACAAGCCTCCCCAACTACTGGACAAGCCTCCCCAACAACTGGACAAGCCTCCCCAACTACTGGACAAGCCTCCCCAACAAGTGGACAAGCCTCCCCAACTACAAGACAAGCCTCCTCAATTACAAGACAAGCCTCCCCAACAACTGGACAAGCCTCACCAACAACTGGACAAGCCTCCCCAACTACAAGACAAGCCTCCCCAACAACTGGACAAGCCTCCCCAACTACTGGACAAGCCTCCCCAACAAGTGGACAAGCCTCCCCAACTACAAGACAAGCCTCCCCACCAATTGAACAAGCCCTCCAAGACAAGCCTCCCCAACTACAAGACAAGCCTCCCCAACAGCTGGACAAGCCTCCCCAACTACAAGACAAGCCTCCCCAACTACAAGACAAGCCTCCCCACCAATTGAACAAGCCCTCCAAGACAAGCCTCCCCAACTACAAGACAAGCCTCCCCAACTACAAGACAAGCCTCCCCAACAACTGGACAAGCCTCCCCAACTACAAGACAAGCCTCCCCAACTACAAGACAAGCCTCCCCACCAATTGAACAAGCCCTCCAAGACAAGCCTCCCCAACTACAAGACACGCCTCCCCAACCACTGGACAAGCCTCCCCAACAACTGGACAAGCCTCCCCAACAACTGGACAAAACTCCCCGACTACAAGACAAGCCTCCCCAACAACAAGACAAGCCTCCCCAACAACTGGACAAGCCTCCCCAACTACAAGACAAGCCTCCCCAACAACTGGACAAGCCTCCCCAACTACAAGACAAGCCTCCCCAACTACAAGACAAGCCTCCCCAACAACTGGACAAGCCTCCCCAACGACTGGACAAGCCTCCCCAACTACTGGACAAACCTCCCCAACTACAAGACAAGCCTCCCCAACTACAAGACAAGCCTCCCCAACAACTGGACAAGCCTCCCCAACAACTGGACACGCCTCCCCAACTACAAGACAAGCCTCCCCAACTACAAGACAAGCCTCCCCAACAACTGGACAAGCCTCCCCAACAACTGGACAAGCCTCCCAAACAACTGGACAAGCCTCCCCAACTACAAAACAAGCCTCCCCAACAACTGGACAAGCCTCCCCAACAACTGGACAAGCCTCCCCAACTACAAGACAAGCCTCCCCAACAACTGGACAAGCCTCCCCAACAACTGGACACGCCTCCCCAACTACAAGACAAGCCTCCCCAACTACAAGACAAGCCTCCCCAACTACAAGACAAGCCTCCCCAACAACTGGACAAGCCTCCCCAACAACTGGACAAGCCTCCCCAACAACTGGACAAGCCTCCCCACTACAAGACAAGCCTCCCGAACAACTGGACAAGCCTCAATAACAACTGGACAAGCCTCAATAACAACTGGACAAACCTCCCCAACAACTGGACAAGCCTCCCCAACTACAAGACAAGCCTCCCCAACTACAAGACAAGCCTCCCCAACAACTGGACAAGCCTCCCCAACAACTGGACAAGCCTCCCCAACTACAAGACAAGCCTCCCCAACTACAAGACAAGCCTCCCCAACTACAAGACAAGCCTCCCCAACTACAAGACAAGCCTCCCCAACTACAAGACAAGCCTCCCCAACAACTGGACAAGCCTCCCCAACAACTGGACAAGCCTCACCAACAACTGGACAAGCCTCCCCAACAACTGGACAAGCCTCCCCAACAACTGGACAAGCCTCACCAACAACTGGACAAGCCTCCCCAACTACAAGACAAGCCTCCCCAACAACTGGACAAGCCTCCCCAACTACAAGACAAGCCTCCCCAACAACTGGACAAGCCTCCCCAACTACAAGACAAGCCTCCCCAACAACTGGACAAGCCTCCCCAACTACAAGACAAGCCTCCCCAACAACTGGACAAGCCTCCCCAACAACTGGACAAGCCTCACCAACAACTGGACAAGCCTCACCAACAACTGGACAAGCCTCCCCAACAAGTGGACAAGCCTCCCCAACAACTGGACAAGCCTCCCCAACAACTGGACAAGCCTCACCAACAACTGGACAAGCCTCCCCAACAAGTGGACAAGCCTCCCCAACAAGTGGACAAGCCTCCCCAACAACTGGACAAGCCTCCCCAACTACAAGACAAGCCTCCCCAACAACTGGACAAGCCTCACCAACAACTGGACAAGCCTCCCCAACTACAAGACAAGCCTCCCCAACAGCTGGACAAGCCTCCCCAAGACAAGCCTCCCCAACTACAAGACAAGCCTCCCCACCAATTGAACAAGCCCTCCAAGACAAGCCTCCCCAACTACAAGACAAGCCTCCCCAACCACTGGACAAGCCTCCCCAACCACTGGACAAGCCTCCCCAACAACTGGACAAGCCTCCCCAACTACAAGACAAGCCTCCCCAACTACAAGACAAGCCTCCCCAACTACAAGACAAGCCTCCCCAACTACAAGACAAGCCTCCCCAACAACTGGACAAGCCTCCCCAACTACAAGACAAGCCTCCCCAACTACAAGACAAGCCTCCCCAACTACAAGACAAGCCTCCCCAACTACAAGACAAGCCTCCCCAACTACAAGACAAGCCTCCCCAACTACAAGACAAGCCTCCCCAACTACAAGACAAGCCTCCCCAACAACTGGACAAGCCTCCCCAAGTACAAGACAAGCCTCCCCAACTACAAGACAAGCCTCCCCAACCACTGGACAAGCCTCCCCAACAACTGGACAAGCCTCCCCAACAACTGGACAAAACTCCCCGACTACAAGACAAGCCTCCCCAACAACAAGACAAGCCTCCCCAACTACAAGACAAGCCTCCCGAACTACAAGACAAGCCTCCCCAACAACAAGACAAGCCTCCCCAACCACTGGACAAGCCTCCCCAACTACAAGACAAGCCTCCCCAGCGACCAGACTACACAACGTATCTCTGTCCTCTAATCCCCCGTGTTACTCTCTAGCCCGTGGTTTTTACCCGTTGAATCACCGACTACGTAATACCTGTATGACTCATACTGCAGTCGGTGTTGGTTTTTCTTTTCTCTCTCTCTCTCTCTCTCTCTGTCGGCTGCCACTAGGGTGTACGTTGCCCTTGAAGAAAGGGGGAAGGGGTTTAAGAAAATGGGTCAAAGTAGGAGGGGGCGGGGCGGAGTGAACGAATGTTTTATGTTTTCTGGCCTGTGTAGAATTTGTATTTAGTGATGGGAACAAGGGCTTGTGGCTGGTGGCGTAGGCCAGGGCTAGAAGAAAAGCTTGCTTTAGGTTTTGATTAGGTTGTCAACATCGGTTGAATGGGCTAATCCGAGGACACGCCCACTGTCTGAGAGGAGCAGGGGGTAACTTTGATCAGCTGAGAAATTCGCTGGTAACTCGCAAACATTTCGTATACACGTATCACAGCAACGGATTATTTTTTTTTTCTCGATAATTAACTTTTTTTTTTCGTGGATACAATTTTTGTTCATTAACCCACGCACCCCCATCCAGGGCTGACACACCTGTACTTTAGATCACACACCTGTATTCAGGTACATCAGCACATACTTTCAGGTGTAAATCCAACCTAAATCCACGCACTTAAGCTTGCATGTCAAGTTACCTTACCAAACAAAGCTTGTGTTATCCAGATGCTTTAGCTTACAACAGTTTTATCCATAGGCCCTAACATAACCGCACACAATAATCTTACAACAGTGTCATCCTACATCAGCTCACTCACACAATAATCTTACAACAGTTTTATCCATAGGCCCTAACATAACCGCACATCTTACAACAGTATCACCCAACATCAACTCACTCACACAATAATCTTACAACAGTTTAATCCATTGACCATTGACATAACCGTACACAATAATCTTACAACAGTATCACCCAACATCAACTCACTCACACAATAATCTTACAACAGTTTAATCCATTGACCATTGACATAACCGTACACAATAATCTTACAACAGTATCATCCAACATCAACTCACTCACACAATAATCTTACAACAGTTTAATCCATTGACCATTGACATAACCGTACACAATAATCTTACAACAGTTTAATCCATTGACCATTGACATAACCGTACACAATAATCTTACAACAGTATTATCCAGAGGCCCCAACATCACCGTATTAAATAGTAACCACAAACGTTCTCCTAATTTTCTCCCCCCCCCCCTTAAACAACACGAGCATTTAAAGCCCCATGTATCGGACACCCACTAGTAGATCTCTTGCTGTACTCTAAATTTTTATTTTTTGCCCTCCCTCTTTTTCTCGATTCTGGTTGATTTCATGATATCCTTTATCTGGCAAAACTTATTGACGATTTTCTCAACCTGTGGCCTATCCATCTCCACCTTCTTTTCCGATTTTTTTGCTCCACTGTAATTTGTCCTGTTTGGTACTTTGTTTAAGCACTTTGTATTTATTATTCGCGTTACGAAGATTATCTCGTCATATTTTCTCGCAAAAAGATGGTTCTCTAGTTCCCCTAGCCCTGCCCACCGTACAACACCAAGCTTTATTCCGTCTTTTGCCGATACATTTAAAACAAATTTAGCGGATCTTTCAAGCGAGGAATTTTAAAGTCTACTTGAATCCGTTGGTAAAAACCTTACATGGTAGCCTTCTTGTAATTTACATAATGGAAATCTTTTCACGTTAAGATCCTAAAGCCCTCGTGGTTGTCAGGAGATTTTCTAGCTTGGCGTGTATAGAGAAAACTTTAGTGTACCTGTATGGGGTTGGGTATAATTCGATGGTCAAACTGTTGCAAGAGGTCCACACCATCCTGTATTTGTACCCCTCCCTGCATCGACAACTTGTAACTGACCAAGTATGCCCGACGATGACTATGTGGGGTTTTCTCTAGTTTTTGTTCTTATAAACATTTGATTCGTTTCCTAATACTTTGTTGTTTTGTTGTTGCATTAATCATATGCGTTCAGAGAAACGGATAGATTATTAAAAAAATATCAACAACTTTATTTAGTCTTTGTGACATAGGGTGCGATATAAGTGGTTCTCACATTTGAATACTAATAAGTGGTTCTCACATTTGAATACTAATAAGTGGTTCTCACATTTGAATACTAATTAGTGGTTCTCACATTTGAATACTAGAGGAACACTTTGTTTAGATTATACGAACCACCAACCACATCTAGGCATATCACTGAGCCTGATTTAACATTGTGCTTCGTTGCTTTGACCAACAACCGCAGCAACTTCGGTGCTTTGACCACCAACCGCAGCAACTTCGGTGCTTTGACCACCAACCGCAGCAACTTCGGTGCTTTGACCACCAACCGCAGCAACTTCGGTGCTTTGACCACCAACCGCAGCAACTTCGGTGCTTTGACCACCAACCGCAACAACTTCAGTTGTTGTCGAGTGGTGTTCATACATGTAGACATGTAGTGGTGTCGGATACAAATAAAACAATCCATTAAATTTATTTCGTGTATAGATTCATACCACAGCAACATATTACTTCTACCCACCCATCTACTACCTCACCCAGACGTCACGTGACCCTCTCATATAACACAGAACCCCCTCATTGTCACACCTAGATCGCATTACACCCCACCCATCCACCGCACTACACTATCTCACATGACTCCACCCCTCCCCCGAGACACAATATTACCCCCCACATACCCTTCGTTTAATAACTTGTTACAAATCAATACTAAACATTTGCTTGTACTTAACCATTGTACGGCCAGCTGAAATCATATTCAAGTTAAATTAGTCATTAGTTTCTCGCTCTAGGCCATTGTATTCTATACTTATTACCATCAATTAATGTTCATCTGTGAGGGTGGGCAATGGGCTTTGTCAAGAAGAGCACGTGCTAAATTAATAACAGATGCGTATCGAATCTCTCGCATTGGCCTTTCCTTGTTAAGCAATCGTGCTTCAAGTAGGATACAGGGTTCGATAGACACTGTGACACAAATCGTGATGTCGTGCTATACAAGCGCGATACAACGTCTTTCTAGAATTATGGCGCCTTTACAGTATTCACACTTGCCACATTGTCCCCACACAATCTGTACACCTTACCACAATGTCCACACACAAACTGTACACATTTACCACGACTTTCTCTTCCTTTAGTTTTTGTTTAAACTAAAAATGGCCCCGTATTTAACAAGTCGCATCCTTTTTGAGCAGATTCCTTATTTAACGACACAAGACCTTCCCCGGGGAAAGACCTTCCCACCAAGTCACTGAAGCATGACCGTCTGAGGGACAGGCAGGAGGTGACCGGGGCGTTGGAGGCTGACAGGGACCACGCGGACCGCTTGAGCCACATCAAACGTTCCACCAGCACCCAGACGTAAGTCTTTGTTTGTAAACTACTTACTGAAGACATTTATAACCAATAAAACATTTTGTTTCAACATTACCGACTGAAGACATTTTGTTTGAACATTACTGACTGAAGACATTTTGTTTGAACATTACTGACTGAAGACATGTTGTTTGAACATTACTGACTGAAGACATTTTGTTTGAACATTACTGACTGAAGACATTTTGTTTGAATATTACTGACTGAAGACATTTTGTTTCAAAATTACCGACTGAAGACATTTTGTTTGAACATTACTGACTGAAGACATTTTGTTTGAACATTACTGACTGAAGACATTTTGTTTGAACATTACTGACTGAAGACATTTTGTTTGAACATTACTGACTGAAGACATTTTGTTTGAACATTACTGACTGAAGACATTTTGTTTGAACATTACTGACTGAAGACATTTTGTTTGAACATTACTGACTGAAGACATTTTGTTTGAACATTACTGACTGAAGACATTTTGTTTCAAAATTAACCAATAAAACATATTGTTTGAACATAACCTACTATAGACTTTTTGTTTAAACATTACCGACATTTTTAAAAATAAAATTACTGACTATAGACATTTTGTTTGAAAATTAACCAACAAGACATTTTGATTGAAAATTTCCGACTATAGACATTTTGTTCGAAAATTACCGACTGAAGACATTTTTTTAAATAAAATTACCGATTAAAGACATTTTGTTTTATTATTAACGACTGAAGACATTTTGTTAAAAATTACCAACTGAAGACATTTGTTTTAAATTCATATTACAATATACAAGTTTTTAAAAAAAAAAGACTTTTAAACGGGGAATCGGGTGGTTTTAAAATCTACTCACTTTTGAATTACACATCCTAAACTGTCACATGATTCAATTACGTCAACGCATTCTTTTGTTGGACACAAACTTGTGCCGACTTACTTGTACAAAAATGTACACAAGTTTGGAAGTTCATCGTTTAAATTACGCATTGCACTCTACGACCTAGACAAAGATCACATGTCTATGTCTGATGGCCATAAACCACAGGTCTACGCCTGATGGCCATAAATCACATGTCTATGTCTAATGGCCATAAACCACATGTCTATGTCTGATGGCCCTAAACCACATGTCTATGTCTGATGGCCATAAATCACAGATCGACGTCTGATGGCCATAAATCACATGGCTATGTCTGATGGCCATAAACCACATGTCTATGTCTGATGGCCCTAAACCACATGTCTATGTCTGATGGCCATAAATCACAGATCGACGTCTGATGGCCATAAATCACATGGCTATGTCTGATGGCCATAAACCACATGTCTATGTCTGATGGCCCTAAACCACATGTCTATGTCTGATGGCCAAAAACCTTAAGTCTATGTCTGATGGCCATAAACCACATGTCTATGTCTGATGGCCATAAACCACATGTCTATGTCTGATGGCCATAAATCACAGATCGACGACTGATGGCCATAAACCACATGTCTATGTCTGGTGGCCAAAAACCATAAGTCGATGTCTGATAAACAAACGACGTGTTGATATCCCATGGACATGAACCACAGGTCAGATGACCTTAAAACAGACCACGTCAAAAGAGCTGACGACTACACTTACTTTTGCCCTCGGCACGAGAGTGTTTATTCTGACGCTAAAATAAAAAAAAATGCACATACAGTAACTGTCTTGGAAGGTTTCCATAAGGGGGTGACTCATGCTAACAAGTATTCCTAGACAGGAAACCGCCTTTTTCTTCGATCGTTTTTAAAAGAGAAAAAAAAAAGTCTATTGATATAAAAGTAGGCCTAGTCTAGTGCCTTCATGTAGACATGTAGTTTACTTGCCGACCTAACGTTCTGCCCTTCAGACTAAAGCGCCCCCCTTCTCCCCCCCCCCACCCAATTTTTTTCTTGATAAATATATAACGTATTTATTTAATTTAAAACGTCCTAAGAAACTTTTAGGAGGGGAGGGGTGCCTCTGAGGGGGGGGGGGGGGGCTCTGTTAAAAATGAGCCTCCCAACATTTGCTTTAATAAAAAATGCAAAGCAAAAAATGGTAAATAAACAACAAATTAAAAAGAGTATGTCCTAACGCCGGATAGTCTTACACAGGTAACAGTTTTAACCCTGTCTTGGCGCATACAATTTTCTGTTCCATAAAATGGAAGCAAAGACGGTAAAACACACCAAAACAAAACAGGAGTTCAGTAGCCAACCTCAATTACGTCATGTCGCGTTATTTCACTCCTTCGTGCTTTAAATATTGTGGTTTTCTTTTCTTTTTTTATTTGTATTTTGACATGCAGCAAAGTTGAACATCTAGATTGAGGCGCCGTCATAAAATATAGCCTAGCGCCCTAGTGAAGCGGTTTTAAAACATTTTGTCACTGAGTCTACCATTAAAAAGCCAAAAATCTTGGCGCCTTCCCAACATTTTGTATTCTATAACCATACTAGCATACTAAGACAAAAACTTTTAAACAAATTCAAGACAATGGTGTAAATGCTAATAGAAACGATACAACTTTTTATTGAGTTGTTTTTTCTTTCGAGAATAAAAATGGTAATTTAGCATCAACACATTAATATAAAAGTAGAGCCCTATATTAGCAGAAGTAAAATACAACAATTTTGAATTTAAAGTAGAGTCAAAAGATAAATCTGACATGAAGAAGTCTGAAGTATATACAAAAAATGTAATCTATTTTTTTATGTTTGTAATTTCTTACAATAATAAACGAATATAATTTTTAAAAATTTTACTTGAATATCTTTTTATTTTTAAAGGATATTGGGAATATAAGTATAGGTTGTATCCCTTGGTTTATTTTAATTTTTTTTATAAATGGGAAGTAACTAACACAATTTAACATTCATTGTAAAACTTCTATTTTTCAACGCAGGGGAATGTGTCTATAGTAGTATAGTAGCTACACATATTATAGGCTATTTTTTAGCGCAATTTCCATACTGGCAATTGCGTTTAATAATGCGTCATTTCTGGATGGAAGGATGGATGTGTGTCCGCAGCTTTAAGTGGTATCTCCTCCTCAACGAAGCAATATCGCGGACTAGTTCCAAAAGCAAATATGGCAAGTTCCGAGGATGATTGTGGGCCAAAAAAATTCCCGGAATTCCTTCCTGGATTTCCCGGAAAAGCCAAAAAACTTCGAAAAAATGCAGTTTTTGGCCCATATCTCGGCAACCAGACCACTTAGCGACTTGAAACATTTACCAATCGATTCCTGCCATAATTTAGAACAGTATTGCCGAAGAAAGTTTTCAAAAATATCCTTTCGTTCGGTCAAAAAAATTTAATTAAGAACATTTAAACTGAGCATCGGGTAGGCCTAGGATGATATTTACTTTTTAAACTGAACATCGTGTAGGCCTACTCGTTAAAACAAAACTATTTCCGTTGATATAGGTTAATATAGTTGTCTTTTTTTTTAGCGCAAAAAAAATATCCTTTCGTTCGGTCACAAAAAATTAAAAAATTAAAAATTGTTATGGATAACATAAGGAAATTGCGCTTAAATTGTCACTAGACTTTTTATTAACTTGTTTCAAATGTCAGTTGCATACATATATTTTTCTTACATCAGTGTATTATTATACTTAGATATATATGTATTTCGATATACAAATAGATAAAACTAAAGAGCTATATTAGTGTTTGGAGCTAAAGTAACGATATTTAATAAGAACCGAAACTAGAATTTTAAAATAAAAACCGTATGTACTTTTTTTACTGTAAATGTTTCGATATGGCAATGAGATCGCGTAAGACTGGGGGGGGGGGGGGGTGGGAGGGCGTCAAAACACCCAGCAAAGTGTTAAGTTTATCCAAGATCTGTCCCAAGTAAAAATTATTTGCTAGATGACACCTTTGGCGACATTCGTCACAGCTATTTAAAAAATTAGCATGCCAGACAGACAGACAGACGTAGGCAGTTTTAAATTTAAATATGAGAAATATAAGAGCGGTCTTGTTTTTACATATGTCACTGACATGTTGACTTATTAGGAGGCGCAGATGAAGCCGATGAAGGCGCGAAAACTTTAATAGAAATGAACAATATATATTATAAGGATATGCCCGAATGTCCCCTGTCATTCAAATTTCACTGGCTTAAATTTGATTTTCGCAACAAAAAAACCTACTCTCTTAATTCTTTTATTTTTTTTGTCCACATTAAGAAGTCGATTCAAAAAATCATATAGTAAATACTGGACGTTTTTATAAGACTGTTGTTTTGATACACCTTAGACCTAATTTGGGATTCGACTTTAACAAGCTAAATGTTGTCACGCTGTAAGATGTCAGCTCCTCGTGTTCCGCCTTAAGACACTGGCTCCACCTGGGGCGACGCCACGATTAGCCACGGCGCTGTGTGGACCAGACGACCGTCGTGCCGTGCAGAAATCAGGACAGCTGACAGCTGATTTCTGCCCGTGTCATATTCACGTGCTGGTTCCATTGTCGCAGAAATATACCAGAATCGGAAGAATTGATTTCAGATGCTCTGCTGGTGTCATTACCAGTGTTTCTTCCAGACTTTTTCTCCGGGGGGGGGGGGGGGGGGGGGGGGAAAGGGGCACTTGAAATTTTCGGGGGGGTAGACTTTCTTTGGGGGGGGGGGGTGCCCCCGAAGAGATGCCTGGAAGAAACTCTGGTCATTACCGTTTGCTGGTTTCACTATAGCAAAAATATAAAAACACAATGTGAATCGCGAAGTCTTAGTGCTGATTCTTTACGCAATTCTTATTTTCTAAGAAACGATTTTTTTCTTGTAAGGCATACTTTTTTCCATATAGAACCGCATGCGACTTATAGACTGAACAATGTTATTGCCTAGACTGCCCTAGACTAACATAACTGCAGGGTTTTAAAGGAGATCGGGATTTCGTATTGATAGATTTCCACCGGTCAGCATTGAAGCACATATAAAGCTACTTAGTACTTGACTACTAGACCTGCTTTATGACGGGCTTTTGTTTTATTTTGCAGGCAATTCTCCAGCTTCAGTTGTGAAAACCTCCCCCCTCCTCCCTACTACCCCGCCCATGTTAGCTCAGACCCGGACACCGGCTGCCCCCTGGTCCCTCCCTATCAGCTCCCTCCTCCTCTCTTCAAATACACCCCTCACACCAATTCTCAGCTTCCTCCCCCACCTCTCCTCCCCGCCTCCCTCCCCCCACCCAACACTTTGCCGCCGTCCCCCGTGCAGACCCACCCCATCAGACACCAACCCGACCCTTCTCTCCCACCTCCCCCACTCTCGCAGGTCCGGTCGTCCCCGCCCGTGACGCCCCTCCCGCCCTATCACACGTCCTGTAGAAGCTGTAGTCCTCCCCCGTCTCTACCCCCCTACCACTCCTCATGCCGGAGCTGCAGCCCGCCCCCTCCCCCAAAGTATTCTGACATCACCAGACTGCACGTGGACGTCCAACACGCCCCCCTCAACCTGTCCCTGTCGAGTTCACAAACCGCCACCTCGCGGACACCCTACCCTGGCAGCAGTGGCGCACCCTCAACAGGAGAGGCTTACAGAGACCGAGTGGAGCCTGGAGAAACCCAGCACAGGACACTGTCAAATCAAAATGGCAGTAACCACGAATCAGCAGCTCAAGTCACCAGACCTATACAAAGTATGTCTAGTCAGCAATGCTTTTATACAAGCAAGCAACTAGGCCTATGTGTTCGCTTAAGATTATTATTTAGTATATTTATTGTTTTGTTGGTATTTTTTTTCCAACTGTAAAACCATTGGCATACTGGTTAGACACTGCTTGTCCTTAAAAGTTTCTTGTAAGAATAATATGAAATACCCAAGACCAATCAATATTTTGCAAATGATAGATGACAATTGGTATCAGGTGTATAACAACAGAGATTAGTTTTAGCAGTACAAATCGTTTTTGTTTTTTTAAGTCAGCTTGCTTAACTCATTAGATTGACCTGAAAAAAAATTTTAGTTGTAATTTTATGTCCAAGCCAAATTTTCTTATTCATGATTAGTACCTATCCTATACATTCTTAGATTTTATTTGGCTTTTGTTGTAGTTTCAGATGAAGCCATAGAGGAACATTTCCGCCGGTCACTAGGAAAGTGCTATAGTGAACCATCACCTCCAAAACAGATGACTGTGTCAGAAAAAATATGTAAGTACAACTGGATACATTTTTTATTGTAAAAGTGTAGATGTAAAAAAAAGATTTAAGGCAATATATTTTTAATCTTTATCCACAATCAAATTAATATGGATCAGTATCATCACTAGACTATTACAAGTGTGTTAGGTTAGTTTTTTTTATGGATGCCATCAGGGTTAATTATTCTACTAAGGTGGGGAATATCATCACACATTCCCCTCTTCATTCAAAAGGAACAAGTGTACAATGTATATTTTCTGTGGGTTGTACGGCACTGCTTAATGGAATGTTTCTGTCACATGTATCAACTTCATAACTCACTTGTCAGAGTTGCAATGAACTGAGGTCAAACTCTTAAACTCACTCATCAGTTGCAATGAACTGAGTTCAAACTCTTAATCAAATGAAACTTTCTTAGCAGATAAATTAAAAAAAAAAATTCCCTTAAATTTTAAGTTAAAATGTTAACAGTAACAATCTTATCATCTGACAGGCTCAGTAGATGACCACTTTGCTCGGGCTCTTGGTGACCAGATGTGGACAGAAATCAAAGCAAGATCAGAACCACCGCCTATAGATGCAGGGTCTGTTGATGCACATTTTGCTAAAGCCCTTGGTGAAAGTATGTGGAGAAAGCTCAAGGCAGAGAAGAAATTAGACGATGATGTAAATTCACAACAGCAGCCAACAAATCAACACCAGTCATCTTCACCATTACAAACACCATTAGTCACATAATTCATCAATGGATATACTATGATCATAAAAAAAGATTTTCAAAAAAAGTTTAATAAAAGTAAATAAACATTTAGGATTACCACCTGAAATGAACTATGTATTTTTAAAAACCTTCTTGTAAATATTTTTTTCATGCATATTTTTAGAATGAAGAAATCAGATGTTACATTGTTAGATTATTTTCTATTAAGAATTGTTTAGTGAATATTCCACTCATACATTATTTGAACTTACTATAACTTACACTACAAAATCTTTTATGCTTGTTCTATTATTTTCAAAAAGTTTTAATTCTTTGTACTCATTATAGTATTTGTCAATATATGTAAATACTCTGTATTTTATGTGGAAAAAATATTTATTATAAAATTTACTGGGCATACCTTTTTAGAAATACTGATTTGGAGATAAATGCTGAAATATTTGTATAAAAAAATCATAAGCTCTTCTAAAAAGATTGAGATTGAAAAATAGACCATGTTAATCTGGAACTATCAGATTTCAAAGTGTCTAAATTTTTTAATGATGTATATTAGTACTTTGTAGTAGTCCAATGCAAGGGTATTGCTACAGAACTACATGAAAGCATGCTTCAACACTTGAAGGTATTAGCTTCTATCGTGATTACAATGAAGACAGGTCCGGCAGCCTGTTTTAACAATTCTCATGTTTGCCAACTACCAGTACTAGTCTGCAGATAATCTGGTAACAGGCAAGCACCGTGTTTACAGATTGGGCATATATTATTTATAAAATACTGCTTCACTATATTCTTTTGATGGGTTTAATCATTTGCAACTTCTCTGAATTGCATTAGGTAAACATTGTAACTTTCTTAAACAGAAGTGTTTGTGCCATTTTGTTAATATATAGATGTAAAAAAAAAAATCACAAAAATATAACATTTTCAAGTGTGATGCAGCCACTCAGTATTTGAGTCACTTGTGAAATGCTTTATTTAAAACATAGTACTTGTGTATGGTTTCACTAGCTGTGAGGTTTCTCTGTATTATTAAATGCCTATTGTCAAGGTTTTTTTAATTAGTCATGCTTTGATTTTATCATTAACAGATTCAGTATATCTGTCTTGTGATATGAGACTCTCAATTTTTGCTGACAGTGTTAATTTTAATTCTGTCTTGTATTTATTGTTCTAATGCCAGACATCAAATGAATTATGTAAAAAATTGTTATTGTTTCTGTTCATTACTTTTAATTTAAAAGTACCGGTTGCCTTAAGGTCTGTCTTATTTTATTCTTTATTCCCCTACAAAAATATTTGGACTTTGTAAATAAGCAAGTATAATTATGTTTCATTATTGTTAAACACCTCACATTGTAAATAATCCCAAAAAGAAATTGTCTTCTTCTGGTTCTACATTTACACCTAATTTTGTTGATCACTTATTGTTTTGTAACTTTCGACTAAAAAACATTGACCCTTTTTAAAAAATTACAAGTGTTAGCCAAGCAGTTGTGGTTTAGCTAAAAATGCAGTCTTTGATGTGTAGTCCATTCCAATTGAAATTAATGTTTTTCCTATATCTTCATTCTATTTGAACAAGCAAACCTTTTATTTCCCATGATTGCTTTGTTTAAATAAAAAAAAAAAGATTTTTGTTTGGATACTTGCAAGTAATTTAAATTTGTCATTTAAAAATAACATTATGGTGATGTGGTACCAAAAAAACAAACAAAAAAAAAAACAGTGTTGGGTAGTTCATATTTATTGATGTGAGGAAATGGTTCAAAGTTCAGTTTAAATCTCTGCCAGTCTTGACCATTTACTTACATTAACTTTTTAATACAAATTTCACTAAATGGGTCAATCTATAAATGTAGCATATGTAAATAACTGGCGTGTTCCATTGTTTTATTTTCATGACAAAAAAGTACAATTTTGTTTTCTTGTACATAGTCTGATGAGAAAAGTATAAAGTTCACAAATCAATGGTTAAAATAAATTATATGAAAATGACTAGGTTTTTGTGTTTTAATTCTATGTTTTTGTGGTTGATTCTTTAACATTACTGGTATGTACAGTGACTTTTTGACATGCAAAAATACATACATAATACAAAAGTGAGATTTTGTAACTGTGCTAAGCCAAGCTAATATAAACTCTTCAAGTATATTTATTGATTAGCTTATACATATCTATTCTTTGAATAGCATTAGATCTGTCCATATTTAGGGAACCAGTCGATGGTATATCAGACCTTGTCCAAACCATACAACTCAATGGGCAATGGGCTGTTACCATCATGATCAGTCCTTGCAGCTTGTCAGGATGAGATTCATCAGATTTTGGCCTTTTCTTTAAAGCACCAAAAAGAAGTCAGAACACCTTCACATTTGCTTGTCTTAAGAAAGACTCTTTGCTACCTCAATTTAAAAACTAGTGTTGTTACTGTTTGTCCAGTTTTTCCACCAAAGGTAAATTTTGGAGCTGGTATTTCATGAACTAACTCAAACTCTGAAACAAAAATTTCTAAAATGAAAATATATTTCCGTGAGGGCAAGTTAGTTTTTAAGCAGTCGACAACAATTTAGAAAGTGACTTACCATTTTGAAAATTAAGCTTAAGCTGCTCGGATGTCCAGTTGCAAGAAGTGATGATAAACAAGCCTCCTTCTTTAAGCAATGACTTAACACTACAGCTGTAGGTCCTTCTGTCATCCACAACATGGGCTTGGCGTAAGCTGATTGCATCATAGGTACCTTTATCAACACAAACATCAAAGGGTCCTTGCTTGGACAAATCTTCCACAGAAGAAGTAGATAAAAGGTCACACACCTGATGAAGTAAAGTTTGGTTAATGACTTGTGAGGTACAGATGCAATTCAATGAGGAAGGAAAATACCGAACACCATGATACAGTTGATGAAAAACTAATACCCTATGTCTCATGATACAAAAATGTAGATGATAGCTGAGAATTTAGCCCTGCCTGAGGTACAAATTTAAATTAACTTAATGTCTAATCATTTAATTAATTAAACAAGCAGTATAGACAAAATATATGGCGTAAACTATCTATCAATCTGTCATTAATAAGTACAGGAAGTTCAAAGTTGAACTTACCAGGAAATTAATATCAGTAACACCTTCCTTATTAGCTATGCTTTTGGACAGTTGGATAGCTCCCTCAGAGTAATCTACGCCTGTTAAGTTTGTAAAGTTCTCTTCTGTCTGTAGGTTTAAAAAATCACTATAAAAGTTTGTTAAAATATTTTGTACCTTATTAATTAGTTAAAAATAGCCATTTAAACAATGATTAAAAAACAATTTGTAAAACATTTAAATTCTGATACAAACTCAACTAGAACTTAAAACTGTCAACACATTTTAAGATGTATAATAACTCACAAATAAAAACAAGAAAACCTCTATGCAGGATAACTAAAAAAAGGATTCTTTTATAGTAACGAGTTTTTTAAATCCTAAATGTAATTCAGACAATTATATACTTACCAGTGCAAGAAGGAGCAACCCATTACCACAACCTAGATCCAATATTTTAGCAGTAGAGGGTAAACCAGACTTATTCGCTATCCAGTTTACAACCCTATGCTGTGCTTCTTCTCCAAACCTACATAATGGCAAATAAACCATGTTTTACTATTTTCTCTTTATTATTATTTATTTATTAGTTTATCATTAATGTTTAGTAAAATTTTAAAACTAAAAATTAATTGGTAGGCGTATTATAACTTTTAAAAATTCCTTACTGATAAGAAGTGTATTTAATTTTTAGTAAAAACTAAACATAACATACTTACCAAATTTCCCCTACATCACCAATTTCATCAAAAGATTTTAACTCTCTACTGTAGGCATTATCCCAGCTAAAAAATTTTAATATTAAAGAAAACTATTATTAACTTATTTGCTTTTTTCTAGACTTTCACATCTAACCAATTTAAAAAAAGATAACCACTTTATTGAACAATTTGATTTGCCTCTTGTTCCTTTTATGATTACTAGAATTTATCCTGCTATTAAAATGGGTGAGAAAGTAGGAAATTAATAAATCATTTAGGTCTACAAATTTTTCATTGCTATATGCACTCCATAGTAATTATATAATTAACAAACGGTTGTGTAAAACCACTTCATTTAGATAAATATTACAAAACAATACAGACAATTAAATAAAAGATTCTTACTACTCTTGAGTTCCTAATTCAGAAGAACCAAAGTCAGATATTGCTTCATTTTCCTCCATAGTTGAGAATCAAGTCAGCTTACAATCTTAATATTTCTTTGAATTGCAGTTGATCTGTCAATTTAAGGGAGATAATAGTTCTAATATAACTAATATTTAAAATTGCTTCTGCCATTACTAGGTTGGGGCTGGACAGAAACTGAAAAGTGCTATAAACTTTCTATGGGACTGCACATGTTAACCCAGAATCCTAAGAAATATAAATGAGCAGTTCTTCATATTTTGTTGCCTTTTAATTTATGTTTAGTTAGAAGTAGAGTGCATTTTCCATATTCTATAGAAATGCTTGACATTTGTAATTCTAAGTAGGACTACTAGATTTTTTTAAAAAGGCTCTAAGTATACTTACAAATTAACTTATTAAGAGAGAAAAATCCAGAATAGGCCAATAAATTTTTAAATAGTTGGAATATGGGATGGTGGGCATGACTACTAATTCGTAAGATTCAAATCTGAAAGCTGTGCTTGAGTCCATCCAGATCTCGTGTGGGAGAGTATATGTGGCTGGGCACAGAAGTCAGAACTAACATCACCACATGTCGAGGTCAAAGAAACATGTGAACCCTTCCTCATTAGCCCTTTTAACTACCAGGTCTAAAAGAGTAACTACTTACAAGTTGAACTAACAATGACTACAATGCAAAATAAATAAACCAACAATTGGAAGGACATCAAGGAATGTATTGAGCTGCCTGTTGCCAAATAACTAAGAGCAGCAAAAGGCCAAGAAAGATGCCATAACAATCATTGTGAGGAAAATCAACTGTGGTCCCAAACACACCAGGGATTAAGGGATGATTGATTAATTGGAATAATTGAACAATGCAAAAAATTATTACAAAGGGTGTAGGCCTAATCAATAATATACATTTAGCCAAATTTAAGTAGTTACCTAACAGTTAAATTATACCTTAGATGGCTTAGAAATCCAACAGTTTACTCAAACATTTGATTTTTTTTTGGGGGGGGGGGCAACGACACTGGTATAAAAAAAGTGGAGGGGGCGGTAGACTTTCTAACTAAAATTTTAAAATAAAATTAGTACTTAACATAGGCCTACTAACTAAGTTATAACTAATTAATTAGTAGTAGGCCTAATTAGTAATTACTTAGGCTATTCTATAATACTAATATTATAATATAGGCCTCAATTATATTACTAGATCTACTGACTTGATTAGTCATTCGACTCATTGTCAGTCAGCTGTGTTTCCTAAGGCCTAAGCCGCGGGTCACTTAACACTACACAACAGTAACTCACTGACACTGTGTTGTTTTTGGTAGGCGTGGTATTTCTGTTATTTTTTTTTTTTTTAAATTAGTCTATTAGAATTACGCTAATATTGTAAACTGCCCAATCTAATCTTACGGTTTACGCTAGACTTTATTCTATAGTATTTCACTGTTTAGTAGATTAATATCTTAAATCTTACACACGCACATTTTATATTTCAAATACTTATTGATCCGGAAGTTGATCTAACAGCTGACCCCATAGGAAGAGTGACGTCACTGGTCACGGGATTTAGCGCCATATTGTAGAGGGTGTTTGTTTTCTGTACCCAGTTACCCTACTCGAACAGAGCTATTTAATCAATCAAAGGAATTCCTTTAATATTTAGGTAATAAATACAGTGATTTCAATTAAAGAATCATTTTTTAATTGCGTATGTGTTACTGTTTTGTAAATTATAGTTAGCTATTTTAAAATATTATTATAATTTATTAAAATTGTGAGACTGGGGACTCGAGGTCTGAGACTGAGTGACAAAAAGTTAAAGTGAGAAGTGACAAGTGAGATTTTAGATTGTTGGGAGATGCGTGATGATTAATTATTTTTTTAAAAAGTTTGTAGATCTATGTGTTGTGTAATTAATTTGGATCTACTAGATCTTAGATCCTGGATAAATTAAAAATTGATCCCCCTAGGCCCAACTTTACTTATTAACTTAACTAGGGGCCTAAACTAAGGGTGTGGGGAAATTGCGAAAAGCGAAATGGCGAGGCGGGAAAATGCGAGAAGGGCGCGAAAACGGTCGGTCACGTGACTTTTTTGTCTCGCATTTTACCACAAGCCGATACTTACGCTGGGTGGTGTTGAAATGCGAAGATTTCTGCGAAAAATTTACCGCACCCGATTTTCAGTGGTATTTGGTCCAGACTTAAAAGACGTTTCGTTTACATTGTTAAAACTTCCGATTTTTCCGTCGCTAGACATACTGATGATTCGTCAACTCCCCCCATCTTTTGTGTCGACTTAGAATACCACCTTGTTCGAAACCGACGGAAATACCGCCGACGATAGATCAACTTCTGTCTTTTGTGTGGACGCCGAGGCCGCCTGATTTACCGTCTTTGAAGATCGCCGTGCCCGGATCCGCTGCCGCCGCAAACATATGTTCTATTGTTGCATAGAAATTTTGTATTATAGCCGCTGCCTACGATTTTTTTCTAGCTTTTTTTACCATATAAATTTAAACACAAGGAAATGCCTACATCATTTGGATACAACAAAATAAAGTGACGTCACCGATATTATCAGTTGCTCGTGCTGTAACGTAAGCTATGGGCCTACTTCAAATATTTTTAAAACCAAGTTGAACTTATCTGAATTTTTTGGTTTTGGTGGTGGTGTTATTTGGGGTTTTCCATAAATGACGTCACACTCGTAGGGGGGGGGGGGGGGGGGTCTGTAATTTTATGACAATGTGTGATGAGGGGGAGGAGGGGGGGGGGGGTTAGATGTGAAGTCACACTATAAAAAAGCAATGTTAGAAAAAGAATTTTAGACGTTTTTTTCGCGTTTTAGAAAACTGTTTTAATACATTGTAATAGGAAATGATTAAAATACTCTATTTTGACCGAAATTAGACAAGATTTTGGGAAAATATCGATGTTTTAAAAAAAAACTCAACTGCTGGTGACAGCAATGAGCAAGACATTGCCAAAATTACAGAAATGATAAAAAATACAAATTATAAAAAACGGAAAACAGATTTTGAGCGTGCGGATGATGATGATGAGTACATGGGTGCCAGTGTTGTTTGTGGGATGAACGAGGAGGTCAACTGTGATGAGAATGTTTATTTTAAAACAAAAAAAATAATTTAAATAAATAAAGATGGAAAAAAAAGAAAAAAACTTTTTTCGCAAAAGTGTCTCGCTATTTACCCTTAATTCCGCAAGTATGTCTCGCATTACCTTCTCGCATTTTCCCGCCTCGCCATTTCGCTTTTCGCGTCTCGCAATTTCCCCACACCCCTAAACTAAGCTCTTTGTTGTGATTATTTGTATTTTGAAAGTATTTTCATCTATTTTGTATCAAATCAATATAGATCTAGATTCTATATTTATTAGATTGTACTTACTTAGTAGGCCCATTACTTAACTAACTTACTAGATCTAGATTCTATTTAGTAATTTTAGTTAGTATCTAGATCTAGTACTTAGTAGGTTGATCTGGTGTATATTTTTTTTAAAATCTTGATTAGTAGGCCTATAGGTCTAAATTCTAGGCCTATTGTATTCTAGGCCTATCTAGATCTATTTGTCCTATTCCTGGCACATTCATGTGACAAACTAGATCTAGTTTCCATGTTCTATAATTAACTATAGCCTCAATTGGTCTAACTAATTACTAAATCATGTGACAAACTGTTTTCTAATTCAAGTCATCTTTATGTGATATAACTGTGACTAGATCTAGATACCAAGTAGTGGGAGGATGTTTTAATTAGCTTTTCTTTAAAATATTATTTCTTGATTAAATTCGACAATTTTCACTTTTAACCCACTCAGTTGTCTATTTCAAGTGTTGATAGACCATTAAACAGGTCTACGGTTTAGGCCCTAGGGGCTTATATGAAATATTTCTTTTCCATAGACCTAAATTTAATTTGTAAGTTTTCTCGGACAGTTATTTTTTTTTTTGTTGTTCCCTGAGATGTTAGTCATTTTGTGTGTGAAAGAATATGTGGTAATTTCTGGATCCAATTTACCTAATTTGAGTCCTCTACCTATTGTTACTGTATAGATTCAGGCATTTCTATAAAATCAATCTAAGAACTGGACTTGGTTATTTTGTGCTCCATTTTCTAGGATGTAGTCAGCACTTTATCATACAAATCTGTAAGCTGATGTCATTGTTTTTTGATAACTTTTTCTGATCATTTAGTGCTGAAGTTCTTTTAATACTAAATTTTACACCATTTGTAATCTTTTTCATTCTTAATTTTAATTTTGGACAGTATTTCCTCCACCAATACAATTAAGTATTACATGTTACCATGTTAGGCAACGTATAGGCAGTTGACTCCTATTTCAGCCTTTTTTTTTTCTGGCTTTGCTTCCATTCAAGAACAAACTACAAGGCAGCAGTTGTTTGATTTTGGAGTTTATCTTTCCTAGATGGTTTGCTGCTCCCAGCTGGGGGGTTCCAACTCGGGACTGTTTGGTTTAGCATCAATGATCTGTACTGACCATGCAGATCCCTCATAATTTGCTATGAATCAATTAATTTTTTTATTAAAAGCTGTTATTGTGATGTGCACTTTAAAAATAAATTTATTTTAAATTTTTGGCTTATTACTTAGATGTATCTATATGATTGATAAAGTAAAAGATCGTGACAATGACATTAAAAAGCTTAACATAGCTTTTTCTGAACATGCACTTGTTAGATAATGAACTTGCCAAAATTTAGCATTTTAAAATTATATATATTTTATCTTATAAAATGTTACATAAGTGCTCCTTAAATATAAAAGTGAAACCAATGCTCTCTTTCAAAAAATTGAATTTAAATACCGTAAGCCTACTTTCCACAACTATCTTGTTTTCTTTAATGATAATATCCCATTAAGTTGGATAACTAGTGAGACTAGTGTCATTTACCTCCAGTCTGTACAAACAAAACCAAACCTAATAAAATTGTTATTGTTTAATTAATTAATTTTTGGTTAGATCAAGTGGTAGTAGTAGTGATAAATTTATATTAATCATTTACCAGTAATAACAAAAACTTTAAAATCTGTTCTTTCTTAACAAGTAGTAGAATATTTTGTTGTATGTATTGTTTTATCAACTTATCTATAACTGTATAAAGTTGTGGTATAAAAGGCAGGGATTTTAACACCAAATCCTAAATACAAATAAATGGTTTGATGTTTTAAAAGAAAAATTAAATTGTGTTTGTATGTTTTGTTATTATAATTAATAGAAGGATAATAATTTTCACTTTTAGGGCTTGGGCCTTTGGAGTTGTTTGAGAAGATATAGAAAAGTAGTGCAGGCATATGTGAAACAGTTCAACAGCTAGTTTCTTGCATTTTTAACTACTATCATTTGGAAGCTTAAAGGTGAGAACTAATTTTCTTAAAAGTATGTCATGTGGACTTATTCTTTTAATGCTTTACAAGCTTCAAATTCTTTTAGAGATGGTTGTGTGTAAATTGATTCTACTATTTTAAGGTGTGGGTCATGTGTGTAGAGCAGCTTGAGTACAAAGTCTCTGTGTAGTGTGTGAATACATTTGTATGCATGATAGCTGGCCCATTGCAAGATTGATAAATATGATGCTTTTTTCTTTTTATCTATGTAGGCTAATATGATAACATAATTTAGGTGCGCTGAGTCTTATTGTGTAGCATGACAATACAATCTATTTTTTTTATCTTACCTAATCTTGTTGCTTTGGGTAGCTATATTTTAAAATGTTATTTTAGGAATGTTTTATTTACACTTTTGTATGTAAACTGGTATGCTTGAAAGCTTGGTTCTAATTTAGTGATATTTTATGGTTTGAAGATTGAAAAAAAAAAGTTAGCTTTGATTATGCATTGCCATTTGATTGTTTCTGTTGCACATTCGTTAAGCTTATTTCATATGACAGCACAGTCTTCTTTGTTTTGTAACTAAGAAGTATATTTTAGAATTATTTCTAGTGTTTTCATGCATTCAGTGGTTATTTAAATTAGTTGCTTTGATTTTATTGGCTGAGTGAGTTCTGATGTACATAATTTTTACACTTAAATACTTATGTTGTGAATTGTTTGCCTTAGTTATTGTACTTACCTCACCCACTTTTGTTTTTCTCATGTTTTAGATTTCTAACATCAGCCTGAGAGATTACATCTAGATAAGACTGAAAACAATGGCATCCAGAAAGAAGGTGCTGTTGAAGGTTATCATATTAGGGGATAGTGGGTGAGTGAATATCTTTCAAATTTTTTTTTTATTCAAAAAGAACACAATCAAATTTTTTTCTGTGAAAAGAATCTGTTCTGCCTCACTATTATGGAGGGATAACTTAAAATCTGAGATTTTATGCAGCACGCCCTGTGGCATTTGGTGGGTAGTGTGGACAAACCTGGCTCCAACAACTAGGAATAGCACCAAGAAATTTAGCGCTGGCGTAGCTTCATTTAAAATATTCTGTTTCAGAAAACAAGGTTACATGTGTATAAATGATTGGTAATACATTGATAAAAATCTTCTTAAAGTGTCGTATCAGCCTCTCTTCTGAGAGTACAGCGATTGGTACCCTAGTAGTAAATTAAAATAATTTAACACCTAGAAAAACATTAACTTCACACCTTTTGCTATTAGTTCAGTTTAAAATTTAATTAAAAATACTTAGAAAATATATATCATGGATAATAAAACTTCCTTTTTTAATATCGCTATATTGGCCACATTAAATAAAAAGTTTTACTAATCATATTGCTTGCAATTTTGAAAATAGACATATTGTTAACTTAAAAAATCATTTAAAATTAACTACCATTGAAAAAATAACCACATTTGTGATTCATAGATTAACCAGAAAAAAATAAATAATGTATCCTGCTTTCACCTCATCCAAAATCTTGTCATCATCTAGACTTCTACTATTCATAAATATTGGTACTTCACTTAGTTCTTGTCTATTCGGACTGTGCCACATTAGAAAAATCTGAGGTGCATTTAGGCCCTTAGGTCTGTAAAATGCCAAGCTATCAAATACTTTTCAATGTGTAGACCTCTAATTAATAAGAATCTTTCATTTTGATAATATTTAAAAACCTATGTTGTTTTAAAATTGTCTTAGATTATAGATTTTTTAAAAATGTTATAATAATTTTTAACAGTGTTGGCAAGACATCATTAATGAATCAGTATGTTGCCAAAAAATTCAGCAACCAATATAAAGCAACAATAGGAGCAGATTTCCTTACCAAAGAGGTGATGGTTGATGACAGAATAGTAACAATGCAGGTCAGTTGACAGTGAGATGTCATATAGACAAAAAACAGCTTTATATTATTACTTTTGCTTGAACCTTTTTGATTTTATTCTATAGTACCCTTTTAGTAGTAGTTTTTTTTTTTTTCAGATCTGGGACACAGCAGGTCAAGAAAGATTTCAGTCTCTTGGTGTAGCCTTTTATCGTGGGGCAGACGGATGTGTACTTGTCTTTGATGTTACTATGCCTAACACATTTCGCTCACTAGACAGCTGGAGAGATGAGTTTCTTATTCAAGCTTCACCTAGAGACCCTGAAAACTTTCCTTTTGTTGTTATTGGAAACAAAATTGACTTGGAAAACCGATCAGTATGTTGTGCATCTAACTATACCCCTTAAAAAATATTAATATTGAATTTCAACAACTATAAAAAGTGAAGGATTTTCTTTATACTTTTAATTGAAGAATTTGATATGTATAGTGAATTTCTTTAAAGGCTTATTTAATTCCATATTTTTAATCCAATACAGGTTTCAGCACGAAGGGCCCAGGGCTGGTGTCACAGTAAAGGAGACATTCCTTATTTTGAAACGTCAGCTAAAGAAGCTATTAATGTAGAGCAAGCTTTCCAGGCAGTTGCCAAAAATGCTATGGCCCAGGAAACAGATGTTGAATTGTGCAGTGATTTTCCAGACCCGATCAAACTTAAAGATGACCCAACTAAAAATAGTAAAGAAGGTTGCGCATGTTAAAGATCAGTAACAATAGTTTCAGTCACAAGTTTGTTGATGTCTTCTGTTGTTTTTATTAGGCAGAATTGTTAGGGTCTGTAATGTTTTTTTTTATTTACTAAAGATATTCTTAAAAATTCAGTAATTTATTATATTTGAAATATGGAAAATTTTGACAGAATTTATAATAGCTCTTGTTTTTGTGTGATTGGACAATGGTAAAACTTCCATTCTTTTGTTTTAGAATGTTAAAGCTCAGCTCACGATTAATATGTAATTTAAACAGTGAGTTATTAGTCATCATTCTACTTTTGTGTTATTTTTACCCGTATCCTTTCAAATGTGATCCGAAGAGCATTTTCCTACTGTATGTGTATGTAGTTTCTTTTCTTCCCTCATCTTTATATGTTTAATAGGTTTGTATGTGTACATAAACTTCATTTTTCTGCAAGATTTTGGAAAACTGTTATTATTGGTCTATTGTAAAAACAATTCTTCAGTCAAACCTAGCTTAGCATATATACTTTTGTTTTCAGCCATTACTTGCTTTAAAAGTTGCCTATTATAATTGAATCAGATGGTTAAAACTTCCCTTCCTCCATTCATAATAACTTTATACATAAATTTTTTCCATTTATAATTATAGTGAATTTTTTCATAAAACTATTCATTTCGAAAGTGGATTTATATTGTTTTCTTGTCAATACATATTCTCTTTCTTTTGAATAGATGTGTTTTCCATTTGTTGTTTAATATCATGGAATTAACATGTACATTAAGTGGATGTTAGTTCATTCTTACATTTTGTTTACTTGTCCACATTTTAATTGGTTAGTAAAGGACACCTCCTCTTACTAAACATATATATTTAACTGCTTTGTGGATAAACAAAACCTAATAATGTCATGTTTAATGTGTGAGAGAACAAAGATTTAATGAATGCTTTTTTTGGAGCTTGATGCTGAATGTTAATAACAGTTATGCTATGTCACCTTCTAATCTATGAATTTTCTCATGTGCAAGTTTTATTTATTTTATTTTCTTGAATGCTGTGTTTGATATAACGTCTACTAGTTAACATGTATGTGAACCGGTATGCTTGAAAGCTTGGTTCTGATTTAGTGATATTTTATGGTTTGAAGATTGATAAAAGATTAGCTTTGATTATGCATTGTCATTGGATTGTTTCTGTTGCACATTCATCAAGATGGTTGATATTTCATATGACAGCGTAGTCTTGTTGTTTTTGTTTTGTAAGAAATCTGTTTTAAGAGCGGAGTTTTTCTAGTGTTTCATGCTGGTTCATTATCTTCTAAGCACAGTGAACATGTTTTTAAGCTACATGTTTGTATCTTTAAAGTAGTTAATTACCAGTTAAACCGTCAGTAATGTGATTAAATAACACACATGTAAAGAGGGCTTTAGTGTCTGTTTGTTTTATATTTACACCAAAATTAAAATTGATATTTAATTTATTGGCAAAGATTAATCTGTTTCTTGTGTAGATGGGCTTAGTTAACTGCTATTGTCCATTTTTGTTTTTAAAAGGGAAAAAATGCTATTAAAATGTTTTAATTTTCTTTATTGAAAGAATACTTCATGATCAGATACAGGGTTTTTCCTATTTGTACCACGAACATTTGTTTTGCTCATATTTTTCAAACCCACATCTTTTAGATGAGCAAGCTCTGAAGAAAAAAAAATGTATCATGATGTATGCAATACATGAACAAACATATTGTTTGTATGCATTAACTAAAATAAAGTCTAAACAGCCAAAAATAGTTTTATTTTGCTTTTATCATCTTATGACTTTTTAGATGCAGTTATTCTCTCTAGATAGTTTATACTTAAAATCATTAGGGTATCTGATTCTTGAAGCTGCTAAAACAGTACTCATTACATAGAGAAAAAGTAGATAGAATTTGTATGAATGTTGCAAGATTTTGAATGGTATAAATATAATTATTTGGGTCTGTGTTTTCAATATTAGAGTGCTGAATATTTAAGTATATCTTTACACTAATTACACACAAAACTACTCTGTGTATTGCATCATCTTTAGACAAAAATAATAGTTAGGTCTAATTTTTCAGTTTACTCTAGTAGTAGCCAAAGGGGAGGAGGTAGCTGGTTATTTACGTACTCGAAATACAGTAGTGACCAATAGACCTGTAAAGATCCTTTACATTCTGGAACAAATAGGACACATACTAGCATTACCCAATAAAATGTTTCATAACATTTCAATATGACCACCTGTTCATGTTACATAAAAGAAATTTCTAGCTGTTACAACAAAATATAAATTATGCAAATAACATCAGTTATGAGAAAGTTGATGGTTACTTTTAAAACATAATTTTGGCTTTTTGAGTTAAATAAGTTATGTAATTGTAAGCCTGTGGTATCAATATTCATCCAGCTATTCAAAAAAGGAGACTTTAAAAAAAAATCTAGATCTAAATAATCATACAATGTCAAAGGCAGTTGTAAATAAAATTGGTCATTACCATATTTGTAAAACTTTTACTTATTAAGCATTCTTATAGGCATCATATGACATGTAACATTACAATGATATAATAATTAAAAATATAATTCAGCCGTTAACATTTATTGTTGAATCACACAACTATTATTTAGCCTATATCTAGATCTGTGGGACAGCGTGGCCTAGCGGTAGAGAGCTAACCTGAGAGTCTTGAGTTCAAATCTGGGTTCAAGTCAGTAGAATGTCCCTGAGTCCACCCAGCTCTGACGGGTATCTAACTCATGTTAAGGAAACAAAGGCGGCTGGGCATGGTGCTGACCCCGCTATCGCTTCATTTGTCGGTCGAGTTCTCATAAGCAGTTGAATTCTACTTTATCTGCCCCATTTGTCTTGAGCACGAACAGAAATGATGATGAACCAGGCCTATTTTCCAAATTTGTATTGTTACAATGTTAGAGAGCTAATTTTATTAAACGTTCTTCTGTGTAGTTAAAGTTATTCATATGTCTTGGGCACGAACGGGAATTGGGGGAGGGAGGGGGTTGGGGTATCTAGATCTACATAGATTCTAGATAATTACTTTTAATTTTAATGGATAATAATTCCTTTGGTCGAAAGCACTTTTATTCTTTGTCTTTCGAAATAAACTTGGTTTGGAATTAATTTTTGAGAAATCAACGTCAGGAATTTAAAAATTATATTTATTTACTTTAAAAATATTTGATTTTTTATGTTAACTTACATTTTTTTCCAAATGAGAATAATTGAATGGAAGCTCGTCTTTTGATTTCGTAAAAAGAATAATTAAAAATATAATTGTCCATTTCAAAACATTTATTCATAGATAAAAGATGGCGGTCGAAATCGAGTCTGCTGAGTGAGTGTTTACCAATTTGTATTTTACTATTTATTTTACTTAACACTGCAGAATTTGTTTAGAATTCTACTTCTTAAACTGGTGAATTGTTTACGTTTGAATTTTTTAGTTATTGATTACTCGATTTAGACCAAGTAATTTAGACTTGAGACTAGTCTAGATCTAGATACAAAAATTTAGATTTTTAGAGTAGGCCTACAGTTGGGGGGAGACAACACATTTCAATACAAGGAAACAAAAATTAAAAACAGTTAACTTATTAAAAGTATAAATATTGTCACAATTTATTACAAATAAATGTTCCAATAATATTGATCTGTGCACCTGAAAAAAAGTAATCTACACTACAAAACGGCAACGTACATAATATTGTAAGTCAATGTCATGTAAGTAAAAGCAGGGTTGTCGGCATTGACCGAGTGCACGGTTAAAACACATGACCCGAAAACTCCCATTACTTTCTGATACCGGATACACAAGATTTGGTTTTGCATACCAATCAGTTTTTAAGTTTTTAATTTATGGTAAATTTTAAAATTCCAGGTAAATTAATTATTAAATAGTTTAAAAGGCAGGTCATTTCCTAATGTTAACTAAAAAGTTGAATGTTTTTCCTGTTGTTTTGATGGTTTTGGACTTTGTTTTTATGCTGTCTCTGCATTGGTATCAAGGCTAGTTTCAAATACTTTGGAATCTCGATTTTAAAAAAAAGATTATTCTAGATCAGGGGTCTCCAAACTACGGCCCGCGAGGTGCTCTCATCCGGCCCGCAGCGATCTTTTTGTCCACAGAAAAAAACGTTTGTTGATGATGGCTGAGGAACTTTGCCTAGAAAAATCAGACATGTTTGGAACTAACTGGCCCCCGAACTGAAATTTGATAGTTAATGCAGCCCACAGACTAAACAGTTTAGAGACCCCTGTTCTAGATGATAAAAGGCTACTGAGCAGACATATCTTAAGCCACTTATGTATGTGGAAGTATTTGTTTTTTTGGATATTTTGACTCTGACATAGTTATACTCATCTGAAAGTAGTCACAATATGTAGGTTGCATTGCCACCATTGTTATATTTTTTCATCCCGATCTGCCGGACTTTAGTTTTAATCAAATTTGCAAACAAATCTCCTAATTGTTGTTTTCAAAGTATTTTAAATATACCCATCTTTCATTTTTTTTTTTTAGCTCAGATCTAGTTTTTGTTGTAGTAAAATTTTGCCAAATATGTTTTTCCTAAAATTTAATTTCGTTAGATTAGACAAGAATCCCTTCATATGCGGAGGTCTCTAAAGCAGGAACTCTACTTCATTTACCCCTTTTGTCTTGGGCACAAATGGGAGGAAATGATGATTCAGGCCCATTTTTCAAAATTTGTATTGTTGGGGAGCTAATTTTATTGAACATTCATCCATATAGTTATTCACATTTCTGCTTTATTTATTTATTTTTCTCAACTATTTAAAAAATTACCATATAGACTCGTTATATAATGTTAATATTTCTAAAACTCAGGATGGTGATTTTTAAAATTTGAGCTGGCTGCTCAGTATTAAAGAAGATGATACTTTAGTGAGAAAATTAATAGTCACGAATTTTTTCGGCGTAATAAGGACAATGATTATCTCTTTATACTGTCACATTTAAATAATAATGAGATTTCGAGGGACTAGCAGAGTTTTCATTCATATCATTTAGGAGTCACCCTCTAGAGATAAAACTGGAATGAAAATAGGTTTAGCCATGTTTGGTTCAGAGGTCATTTCCGCTTCTCTAGCTTGATAACAGACTAAATCTAGCCTAAGGCTTAAGTCTACAAAACAATGTCCCCACATTGTTTTGAGAAAGTAATTCTGAAATAGATTAGTTATAAATCAATATAAAATTATCCGTTACTGACATGTTTAATGCTATGTTTTGTTCGTATTTACAGTGTTGTTCGTCTCATTGAGCAGTATCTGAAAGAAAACAATTTGCTCAGAACTTTGTCTTGCTTACAGGTAACTTATTTTTACCGTACAGTAAAATTTTAATACATCTAAACAGTAATGCCTACTCATTTCATTAAACTTTCAAAAAGTAAATTGGCATGTTTAAATTGTTTTTAGGCATGTTTTAAATTAAAATACCAGAATTCAACATTAAAAGCATGTTTATCCATTAAAGTTTTAAGCTGCATACTTATACTATAATTCTTAGAAATTACTTGAAAATATCAGATTTTTAAAACTAAGTAATGCTGTATAAAGTGGCATAATCTACTTATCCGGGGAACAGAAAAAAGTTTGCCAGAAAGTGTGCCTAATTTAGCCAATCAGGGCTGGGTGCACACTAAAATGTCCTATAGACTTTAGTCATAAAACTAAAATCAGTACTGAAAACCTAAGTATAAATAGCAATTTATAAAATGATACAAATTTAAAGATTTAACACTTTTGACTTTTTTCTTAGGATGAGAGTGGAATATCACTGAATACAGTAGAGTCTGTGGACAGCTTCATTTCTGATATCACAGCAGGTCACTGGGATAGCGTACTACAAGCCATTCAGACTTTAAAGCTACCTGATAATACTTTAGTTGACCTTTATGGCCAGGTAATATAACATAACTATACAGTTTGTACGGAAACAAAGCAGCTGTGTTATAGGATGTTCCGCTTTTAATATTAAGACCTGGCTTCTTATCTGCTTTTAGAATCCTACATAGTTCCTACTCTTCTCAATCCTCACTGTAGCTATTCTACTCACAGTAAATATTCATTTTGGCAACATGATCCAAACTACATAATTCACACTTATATTGTTAAATGTTTAGAAATTTGGGTTTTTTAGGCTAGCGGTGTTTAACCTATTGAACAACTAATGTCACTACTCTTTTGTCCACAGATTGTTCTTGAGCTCATTGAGCTTAGAGAGCTTGGGGCAGCTCGTTCATTATTGCGTCAAACAGATCCAATGATCATGATGAAACACAGCCAACCTGACAGATATATCCATTTAGAGAACATGCTGGCTAGATCTTATTTTGATCCTAGAGAGGTTAATGGCTTTATGTTTTAGAAAAGTTTAATTACGGGGTGCTCTTTTTATTGTGGAAATATCTATAATTTTCAGTTGTTTTTTTTCTCTCTATCTTAGGCATATCCAGAAGGCCAGACAAAAGAAAAAAGAAGAGCTGCCATAGCTCAGACACTGGCTGGAGAAGTGAATGTTGTACCACCATCAAGGTTGCTTGCTTTACTTGGTCAGTCTCTCAAGTGGCAGCAGCACCAAGGGCTACTCCCTCCAGGTTAGTATCATTGTAATATTGTGATGGACATCATTTGATAAATAACAAGCACTATTTGAAATAATATATGCAGTCAGTACAAGTGCAGTCTTTAAAATGCTGTTAATTACTTGGTTTCATCACAGGTACTACCATTGATGTGTTCAGGGGTAAAGCTGCTGTCAAAGAACAAGAGGAAGAGAAATATCCTACACAGATGAGTAAACAAATTAAGGTAATGTTGTCTACTCTGTTGTTCTTTTTTTTAAACTTTATATAATATATATTGAATCAATTTATTTTTATAAACAATTTTTTTTAAAAATATTCTTTTAGTTTGGTCAAAAAGCTCATGTGGAGTGTGCTAGGTTTTCCCCAGATGGTCAGTATTTGGTCACTGGGTCAGTTGATGGCTTTGTGGAGGTCTGGAACTTTACAACTGGAAAGATTAGGAAGGATTTAAGATACCAAGCACAGGTAAAATAAATAGTACCAAATATATTTGTCAGTTTTTTTATATACATTTATTTTTTTAAACCATTTTTTTAAACTATTATTGTAATGAGCTGTTTTTTGTTTAATAGGACAATTTTATGATGATGGATGAAGCTATTTTATGCATGAGTTTTAGTCGAGATTCTGAAATGTTAGCCACTGGTGCTCAAGATGGAAAGATTAAGGTATGTAATGAAAATCAGGGTTCGTACGCAGTCTGGAAAGTCTGGAAAAAGTCTGGAATTTAGAAAAATGAATTTAAGACTTAAAAAAGTCTGGAAAATCGCAAGTTTTTGGACAGGATTTTTTTAAAGTCTGGAAAAAGTCTGGAATCTAGTTTTAGAAACAAAACTTCGTAGTCCATATTTTCCAACTTAGAAAATTGCTATTTTTAAGTGAATTTAGTCCAATTTTTTTCCCCGCGCTATTGCGCGGGTTTACACTATGTTGTTACGTTTTTTCGCTTGTTCGCAGAAAAAACACGAATGCTCAGTTACTACGTCATTGGGAGAAGAGGGGAAGGGAGGGAAGAGATATTTTGTGTTGCGACTGACCGTGTGAATGTATTACAAGTATTTAAAATTGTCATTTAAATTTAATGAAAGAATGATCGCCTTCAGAATTGTTAGGCTCTCGATTTTACCCGCTATTTTTCATTAAGTTTGCACGCAGACAGTCATAACAAAAAAATTATGTGGGAGGTGTATGAATGATAGTTTAGATATAATTTATTTGTCTCTGAGGGTCATCCGTTTATGACATCCAAAGAAATTTCGGATTTTAACCCCCCTTCCACACGCGTTCACTTACTTTGGGTTAATATTAACATTTATAAGATTAATAAGTCGCGAGACCTCCTTGGGTTCATACCCGTATTTCTGTTTGCTTCAGTCGTCCATAAATGACGTCACACTCGGAAAAGTCGGAAGGAGGGTTTCAGAAAGTTTGACGACACGCTCTTGCAATAATGTTAGGGTAGATATAAATACCGTGTTTTCTTTACACGCTGGGATGGTTTTTAAAACACAAGCATAGATTTCAATGCTGACGATTAAAGCTAGACTACCCCGCCCCTTCTTGTAACTACGGTCACTTGTGTGAACTCACCATGACCCCAAGTTTGTAGTTGGTACTGCTGGGTAAGGAGGGTGGGGGGTATAAGTCGCATCTCAGTTCATGGTATGACGTATTAAACAGGCATACTGAAGCCTAGACTACTATGACCTCACAATGACCCCTTCACCGTGTCTTGTGGTTGTGGGGGGGGGGGGGGGGGGGGGGGGGAGGGGGGGGGAGGAGGATACCGGCATTTTTTTTTTATTGCAGACCCGTTCCTCAGCTATAAGTAGTATAAGTGTATAAGCATAAACAGTGAGTGATGTGGTTACAACCTGCATAATGTTTTTTTTTTTTGCTCCAATTTTTTTCTTTACAAGTAGCCTATATTAGGCTACTTAACAAGAGCAGGCCTAAATTAATACATTACGTTAGTATTCTTTAAAGTAATTAACTCTCACTATTATGCAATACCATTTTAATAATAGTTTAATTGAAAACATAAGCATTTTCATCATGAACAGATTACATAAGTCTAATGTTTAAAACAAAATAGCTGCGTCATTTTAATCAATTATTTTAATTATTAAAACTTTAGGTGGAGTCGAGTAGGCAAACTTAGAAAAGTAATTTTCTGTCAATTTGGCTAAAGAAAGTTCAATATAAATATATCTCAACTGCCTAAAATAAATGTCAATTTAGTACAAGTAATTATGAGAGTACAAATGGTGCATCATTTTATAAATTATTGGCGAACACATTATCTGTATAAAGTCTGGAATTTTTCCAAAAAAGTCTGGAAAATGTCTGGAAAAAGTCTGGAATTTCATTTTGAAAAAGTAGTACGAACCCTGAAAAATATATTAATAAGAAACTTGTTACTTTGGCAATGCTTCTCTTTTATGGGTACACGGCTATGATACACCTTTATTACAATTATTTAAATATCTGATGCCTATGATTTTTACAACAAATGTAAATATTAGTATTTGAGGAATGCAACAATTTGTTTAAAAAAAACATTACAAACATATCTAGTTACATCACTGGGGTCTGTAGGTTGTCCTTGAGTCCACCCAGCTCTGATGGGTACCTGGCCCATGTTGGGGAAACAAAGGTAACCGAGCATTGTGCTGACCACACTATGCCTTCATATTCATAAGTCACAGAAATATGTGAACTTAACTTCATCTGCCCCATAAATTCCCAGTCCGAAAATGGTAACTTTATTCTTACTAGTTCTATCACACAGTATATTAAAATTTATGGCTCAATAATTTTTTTTCTGATTGGGAGGTGAACAACTTTGTGAGAACATTCATAGTAAGCCATGATTTTGATTTCCTTGAAGGTGTGGAAAATTCTAACTGGCCAATGCTTAAGAAAGTTTGACAAAGCCCATGGCAAAGGTGTTACTTGTGTCAACTTTGCACGAGATAACAGTCAGCTACTGAGTGCATCATTTGATCAAACTATACGGTGAGTACATGTATTAACTTGGTTGTTTTTGGGTTTTTTAAATTAATTATTTTTCAAACTTTTGTATCCATCCCCCACCATAAGTTTTTCTTATATTTAGTTATTTGCCTTTGTTAGTAAACATTCATACATTTACATACATCATTAAACTTAAACAATATTTATTTTAGAATACATGGAATGAAATCAGGGAAAACTTTAAAAGAATTCCGAGGACACACCTCATTTGTCAATGATGCAGTTTTTTCACAAGACGGACATCACATTCTCAGGTCAGTAAATTTTGTTGTGGATAAATTTTAATAAGGAGCAGGTAATTTTTTGAATCATAAAGAAGTGGATTTGATTTGTTTTTCTTAAAATTTGTTCTCCAGTGCCAGCTCTGATGGAACAATCAAAGTGTGGAGTGTAAAAACCACTGAGTGTCAAAACACTTTCAAATCCCTTGGCAGTGTTTCGGGTGCTGACACAACAGTGCACAGTGTTCACATACTGCCTCGAAATGCTGAACAATTTGTTGTCTGTAACAGATCCAATACAGTTGTTATAATGAACTTCCAAGGACAGGTATACATTGAAGTGTTGTTTTCCAAAATTTGTTAATTGCATGTATTGTTAGTCATAATTTTTTACTAAAAATAAAAGTTTCATTAGTTAATGAAATTTATTTTACACTTTATAGATAATTCAGTTTTTGCTCATCTCTATATTTAGAGCTCAGCTTTTGCAATTGAATTTCTGTTTGTTTTTTATTTATTTTTTTACTAGATTGTACGTAGTTTTTCCAGTGGTAAAAGAGAGGGTGGAGATTTTGTTTGTGCTACTTTGTCACCAAGAGGAGAATGGATTTATTGTGTGGGAGAGGATATGGTGCTCTATTGTTTCAGTGTTGGTACAGGCAAACTAGAGAGAACACTTACTGTACGTACACTATAATTTACTATTTAAAGAAATTTTAATAAATTAATAAGCATTATGAAAAGAAATACCGCTGGCCCTGGATTTCAAAGCCCAAAGGGAAACTTCTAAGAATCAAGATGATTACAAGAATGTAAAAAAAATAACTCTCCCAAATAGAAATTTTTCTCCAAGTACATTTTCCCCAACTGTCAAAAACCATTTTCTTGAGCTTCTCTTTGATATTTGAAATTTTTAGCCATTGTGGTTAATTATGTTCTATTTTGCTCACTACCTTGTATGTAATCTAGAAACTTTTAATATACATTTTTTCTTCTGTAGGTTCATGACAAAGACGTAATTGGAATTTCACATCATCCACATCAGAATTTAATTGCTACATATTCAGAGGATGGACTCCTAAAATTATGGAAACCTTAGTTTTTTTAAAAATGTTTGTCATCAAATCTTTAATTCAATTTCACTTAATAAAATAATTTTTTAAATTGATTAAAAATAAAGAAGACATTAAATGTTTTTTTTAAACACAGGAACACTTGTTTATAGATTGCATGGAATTCTGTTAATGTGTCAGTTTTTATTTAAAAGCCTAAAATTTAGTATTCCCAGCCCCCAAAAAACCATCATCAGAAAAGTTGTGCATGTTGCTTGTGGAGTTGAAAACAGCTGTACAGTTTGCTATGTTTTGACTAGTTGTATGACCCAGTGTTCAGGAGTAAATGGAAGCTGGTAGCTAGGTAATACTTGGCTTTGACCACTGAAAATTTATGTTGCCAATTGCCACATGGATGAAGCATTTTTTTTTTCACTTTAAAATATATCTCTAAAGAAATTAGAAAGGAATGTGAAAACAAGACTGAAATGACACCTTTATTTCTAATTCAAAGTATTCAAAGCCAGTGTCACACGGGTAAAACAAGTCAGAAGTTTTTTAAGAAATGTTCTCTTGTGGGATGGGCGTATTATACAACTGGAACTAATAGAATTTGAAAAAGAGAAACTTAAAAAAAATATCACATTTCAAAACAATCTGCTTTCTAAAGATAGAAAGAACTTAATAAATGTTGAATTAAAAACTAATTTCTCCCATGGAAGAAAATAACAATAATTACAAACATTTTAAACAAATTTTCTAAGCTGGTCTCACTGATCTATAAGTGCTGGTTTGTATCAAGTGAATGAAAAATATTTATTGCACATTAGTACATATTTGCATAAGAGGGTAATGTATACATCTTAAAGATTCCTCCAGGAATTTTTTTCTCAGTTATTTACTTATTATACCCACTAAAATTTCTATCACTACACAATGAAATGCAAACATTTAAAACACTTAGTGTATTAACAAGTCTTCCATGGATGATGTAGTACACACATGCATGAAAAGACATCCATTCATATTCAACATGTTTGTGAACAAAGTAACACATTCCCTGACATTAATCACTGGTGTGTATACTACTGCACAACCTTAAATTCACTTTAACCAGCAGAGAGAGTGTGTAGTCAAAAAGTGATGAAAAAGCTGCTTACATTTATAGAAATACATATACACATAAGTTTATCTGATAGATCTAGTAAATTTAGTGATAGTCACAAGTCTATGATATTGGCAATTTTCTGTCAATAATCTAGTGTAAAAGTTAAAAAGCCTATGTCTCTAAACATTAATTAACCAAAAGAAGTAAGCCAATGAATGACTAATATATTTGAGTCAAGTAGATAAAAAAAATTGCACTTCTAAAGCAAAAAAAAATTCAGTAAAATTGAAACATTTATAATATACATTAAGTTTAAGAGGATAAAAATAATAAAATGCTTTTTTCTTTAGTCACAAAATTTGCTAACTATTATGTTGGTCTTTTGAGAGATTATTATTTTTACATTGTTTATGTGTGATTATAGACTCAAGTTGTAAAAATACATCATCCTTACTGTAACTTACAAAAATAACTCATTAATTAGTTTATCTTTAGTCCCATACACTTGCTTAGAAACAAGAGCCATATTAAAAGTTAAATGCCAAAAACTGGGCCTGTCGAGGTCATAAAAAATACATGATCCAGTTTACATTTTAGTATAATTTTAAAATCTCAAAACTAGTGCAGATTCATCATCTAAATACCCAATAAGATGTTTCCCATCAACCTAATAAGACCATAAACGCTGTCACCGGTGCAAAGAAATATTTTAAGAATTGTTTTGTTAGTTATAACATGAAAAAGATTAGCTTGAAGTTTTTAAAGTTTTAAAAAGTATCTTTATGATAAAAAATGCTAAATAAACTATGAACTGGCTGAGACTAGAATGAAACTTTAAAAATAACTTTTAAAAAATGGATAACTATTAGTTTAGTACTACAATATTTCACATAAAGCAGCGTTAATTGTAAATAAAGCATTATACCAGTGATTTAAATATTAAAAATTATTAAAAATGCCAAAGTTGCTTCAAAAAGATTTAAATAAGAAGTGTAAAAAATATGCCCAAAATAAAACAATTAGTAGTTAAAAAATTTAATTCGAGAACTCTAAAAATGTTATCGCATGATAAAGCTAGGTATGAAAGGTTACATCTGAGAAAGATGAAGAAGCTTGAACAGTTAATCACAGAAATTTCAGCTGAGTTGGCATTACTAGTTATGCCTCGATGAAGCTGTAAGGCATGAAATATTTTTAATTAAAAAATAAACATTGAGCTATAAAGAAAAATACACAGGAATGTGTTTTTTTTTAAAACTGAAAAATATTTATAACATGTCAAGTTTATTATTTAAATATGTTATTACCAATAAACCTAACTAAAATATAATGAAGTTCAAAGGAATTAATAAAGAATATCCCCCATCCATTGCCAAATGGCCATAGCGATGATGCTCATGACAATAAATGTGTTTCTATGAAGTAACACAACTGATCCTAGTTAATCATACAAAGTTGATGTCTATTTTTTCTGGACGCTTTTTGTTGCTAGACATTTTAGTTTGTCATTTTCAAATTAATAGACATATGCTGAAAAAATACAAGAGGTTATTAAGTTGTAAGAACAAACATTTTTAATATATCACAATGTTTGAAATTGCAAAACACTGACTAGAATTGCACCTATATTTTAAAATAAATAAAAACATCTGGTAAGAAATGGATTAAATCATTGTTAAAAGAGAATGACCATATACCAAAAAATGAAAAGGTGCAATATGATAAAGGTAATACTAACACACTTTTATGGCAGTAAAAATTGAAAATTCTAATTCTACTATTACTTTCAGATAAAAAATATTGTATGTCAAGTTACATTCTATAACTATTGCAATAGATTAACTATTGTAATTAAATGTAAATCCATTAGTTACTTGTATTTACAATTATTTAGCTGAAAAAAAGTAAAGCTATGAATAGTTAAGAGATTCAAATACAAATCTGGTAAAAATTTAACTTTCATAAATGCAAAAAAAAGAAATATATAGTGTAAATAAAGTAATGAACAACAAAGGATGTATAACTTGTAAAATCCATAATACTAGTAAAAATTTTGTGTATAAAACTCAGTGGACTGATTTCACTAGATAGAAGTAAGTGAGAGCGGCTCATGAAAGTACTGATTCAACTGTTCAATATTTTCTGCTCCAATACTATGACCTTGAATTGATTGTACAACATAGTAAACTACTACAAAAAGATAATAGTTTAAATTATGGGCAACAGTTGGCCTATAATCTTGATTATTTCAATTGAGAAACTAAATTGATCACCTAAAACAAAAAGGAAACAGGATATATAGCTACTGTTTCTGACAACAAATTAAAATTCAGGTTTTTCTAGGTGAAAATTTTTTTTTTCATGGAAATATTACTGTTGATAAAAGTTGAAATATAATAGCTCTTTGTAGAGTTGATCATGAACTTGTGTATTAAAAACTATATGTGGCTTCCGTGTTGCAATTTAATAAAATATAAAATGTACTGTTGAAAAGAAAGCAACAGGCAATTTTAATAGATCACTTATGCTACCATGTTGCAATGGGCAACAGTAGAGAAGTTAAAAGAAGAAAAACAAAGGTAAAGTTTATGCAGCAGTATTATCTAATCTAAAGGAATGTGAGCCAATCTTTTGCTGCAGAAATCTGTTTGGGATATAAATCTAGTTGTGCAGGGAAAATGTTTTAAATTATATTTTCAAAATATTTTTGTAAAGAAATATTTCCTTTACAGTATTGAGCTAACATCATCTAAAACACCCATAAGTAAAGCTGTAAAAAGTCAATCAGAAAAATAACATGCTACTAATAATTTAAAAAATGGTTTTGCAGTAATCACATTTTAGTAACATAAATATCAATTATTGATCAAATTTTTATATTAAGCAAAAATATAGAAAGCTTAAAGAAATTCCCACTACTTTTTCCACTAATTAATAAGACAAAAAAATACTTTAACATAACTTAATTAGGTAATTTTTAAGTATACATTTTAATGATGATGTCAACAGGCATAATTACTATAGATCAAATAATGAAATAACATTCAGCAAAATCACTCAACTCATAGGTAAATTCTAAACTGTAGACTACAGTGAAAAAAATATCAACCACACCAAAAGTTAAAATTCTATAAAATTCAAGTAGAAAACCAACCCTTACTCTTTTATAGACAGTCTAAGCTTTACATTAAGTTTAAAACCAGAACCAAACACCAAGTAACACACCAGTTGGCTTGTTGTGGCTCTTATAAATAAATTAACGAAAACTGAAAAGTGAATTATTGTGTTCAAAATGGATTTCCAACATTTTAATCTGAATCATCTCCACTGACTGCAGATGAGCTAGCAGGTTTACTTAAGAAAGTTCTACCACTGCTTTCTGACTGAGTCACTGATTGGGTTGCTTCTTCTACCTGTTAAATTAATAAGGAACATTTTTTTTAAATAACTGAAAAATTAAGAAGGTACATTTTAAGCATTAAAAATTATACATTTTAAAAAAGATTAATGAAAGATGTGTTCTAAAAAGCTTGATTAACAATGGTAAAAGCAGAAAGCTTACAGATGTTAATGACAGAATTAGGCTTGGCCCATGGTTATTTTATATTTACAAATAGTTAATTTTAAAAATTGTTTACATTGGGTTTTAATATCTACAACTAAATCAAATTCTTTCATAAAGGAATCAATTTGTGAAAGTATGAATTGTTTTGTGCCAAATTCACAAACAAATTTTTTCCCTGTTATTCCATGTTTGCTCATATGGACAGAGATGCAATTTAAATAAACCGGGAGTGATCTCCCCTAAACTTTCTCGAATATTCTTATATAAAATAACAGGGGATGGGAACTCGGGCTATAGACATGATTTTTAATCCATTTTAAATACTTAAAGTTTTAAAAATAGAATAAAATCTCGTAGACAAATTAATTGCACACCAAGTGAACGCCAAATAAAAAAGCGCATAATGCTGCGCAATATTATTAGTACTTTTAAAATTTACATTAGTTTTTTGAGAAATCGGAAGTAGCGTAAATTACTACTTCCAGTCAACGGAAATTACTCAAAATTTAACAGAAAGTAGAGAATTAGATCTTTTACTTACATTTGAAATTTCATTTATCTATCTGAAATAGTACTCAAGTTATAGGCTTTTGAAAAATTCAAAGTAGGAAAAGTACCACTTCCGGTTATCGGAAATCGCTCAAAAGTTGATACGGATCTACGATTTTGATAAAATACTTATATATGAAATTTCATCAACGTAGCTGTAACGGTACTCAAGTTATCGTGTTTACACACGGACAGACAGACACACAGACAGACACACAGACATACGGACAAGATTGCAAAATTATGTTTTTCCGTATCAGTGAGGTGTAAAACGTCGAGATTTGTAAAAATCTCGATTTTTTTTTTTGCACGATTACAAGACTTTCTCTATACTTCGTATATACGAGAAAGTAAAAATAATTGTGGCACTTTAAAAGTTAAGTAAATAAAAATGCACTGCAGGGATTTAATGGGTTTTTAACCAGTATAAAAAATTTTTTTATGTGCATCAACAATTTGTCAGACACATACCTGTAGTCTGCTACTAATGGTTTGATATGTTTTGCTGTTCAATGTATTTTCAGGTACACCTTGCAGCTCAAAATCAGAGAAACATTTCTGCAACAAAAGTAGTTCATATATATATATATATATATATATATATATATATATATATATATATATATATATATATGTGTTTATATAAATCAGGGGTCTCCAAACTACGGCCCGCGGGCCGGATGCGGCCCGCGAAGTCCTCTCACCCGGCCCGCTGAGATCTTTTTGTCAAAGGAAAAATCGTCTGTTGGTGATGGCTGAGGAACTTTGCCCAGAAAAATCAAAGACATGCCCGGAAGAAACTGGCCCCCGAACTGAAATTTGATGGGTAATGCGGCCCTCGGACTGAAAAGTTTGGAGACCCCTGATATAAATAATAAATATTATTATAACTAAAATGTAATTTACTAAATGTTTAAATACATTTTAAATAATACTGACTGAAATTATTATTTTAAAGGTTTAACTAATTATTCCAATAATTTACTCTGTTAATTGTCATAAGACAAGTCAGTTGGTATGGATGAAGTGACAGATCCAGTCTATCTGTTAACCAATCACATATCATTTTCATCTGACCACTGTACCATTGCTGTAAATAATAAGTTAAACACTGTACATATCAGTCTGTTATAAACTGTTTTAACCTTGACTCTATAATAAGTTTGTTAATTTAATGTTAAGTTAATGTCTGGTTTTATGCATGATTAGAATCTTAATATATTAAAAATTATCAATGTTTACAAGTTTGAATACATATATATATATAAATATTTCTGTTTTTTTTGTAGAAGGTGTGGTGGAATATTGGTTTGAGTTATGCAGTGCAGCCAACATACCATTTTCCAACAGGAAACTGGGTCATCTAGTAATTTTAAAAATTTCAACTAGGATAATTTTCAATTTTCTTTTTTCAACTAAGATATGGTAAAAATTTAATACCCAAAATTAGCTGAAACAAAGAACAAATATTCCAGCAATAAACAAACCTCAAACAAGGATAATGTGTAAAGCTCATCATTGATCTTATTTCTCATTTGGTCAAGATTTCCTCTCATGAAGTCAACATACGCTTTGCCAAGCTCATTTACTGGTTTCTAAATGGATAAGGAAATATACTTTAAGTCCTTTAACTAATTAAACAACTGATACTAATGTTTTTTTTTAAAATAAACTTACAGTTAGAGATAAAAGAGATGCAAAGAATGTGCCTTCATCATATCGAGCCAGTTTACTTAGTATGCTTTCTAGCACTGATAGCATCTGAAAATTTAAGGTGAAAAAAGTAATAAACAATCTCAAAGATCAAATTCTGGAACATTTTTCCAACTGTTCACTATGTATTAAGAAACATATTACCAAATTGATATACTTAAATAACTATTAATGCTTTCAAGCATTAATTATTTCTATTAACCAAACTAAAAAACTCTTTAACTGTTTAAGTTTAACTGCTTAAGTTTGTAATTATTGTAAACATTTTTTTAAAAGCTAAATTGTTTAAGCCTTACTTTTTCAATAAGACAACGTGCCATTTCTATCTGAGCTCTTTCTAGGGATTCATCAATTTTTGTATGATACTGGTGCTGTGTTTACGAAGTTAAAAATAGGTTACAGCCTAAAAATATTTTTACTACTTTAATTATCTTTTTTTTAGTAAATTAAGTTAGGTAAATTTTAAATGGATATAAAATTGATTATCATTCCTTTAATTTCAGTTAACGTTTTTAAATAGGTGCAAAAAGCTTTATATAAGAAAATTAAACAGCACTAAATGCAAAAAAAAGAAGTCTAACCATATTTTGACCATGGTCAAGGGCGCACAGATGTAGTGCTTTATTCTTGCAATCTATAATCACATTCATCATTGTGCAAATTTCAGTAAAAACTAAGTAATCAGTACTTTTTCCTCCTTTACGTAACCAGATCTCAAAACATTTAAGGGTTCTATGAAAAAACAAATTGAAGCCATGTTAAAAAATAATTTCTAAATGTTTAAAAATGGATAATAATTAAATTAGGTGTTTTCTCACCTTTTAGCTGCTGCCTCTATCATGTCTGCTGCCATCAGTTTTAGTCTGTGGTCCAGATGCTCAGCAAACACTTCTTCAGGCCAGTGAAGGTCTCTAATAAATGACTGCAAAGCATCTAGTTTCCATAACATATCTTCTGATGTTGAACAACCGTTTCTAAACAAATATTAGAGGGGTTTTTTTTTATAAAAAAAAAATTAGAAAATATTTTATGAGCAGTGTAACAGAATATAATTTATTAGAATTATAATTTTTTTGTATCTGTATTACTTTTAAAATAACTAACCAATAGTGATAGATCTCGTTGATTTTAGTTCTGTTTAAAATGCAGCTCTTTTAAATAATAAATAACATTTTTAAAATAGTAATCTATAATATCCTTCTTATCTCCTTTATTATTATATTAGTTCAAGTAAAGTGTAAAATCTGTACCTGAGTGAATTTTTTCTTTAAAATTCAAAACTAACACATTTTTTAAAAAATCTGATTTGACGCTGGTTCTAAATTAAAATACCTTTAAGACAGTTTCTACTCAATGAATCACAAGTACATTCAACTCCAGTAAAACCTTTTCCATAGAGCCTTCAATATTTTTATCAAATCAACCCAAGATTTACTGACCAGTGTTTAAAAGGGGTAAAAAAACTAACCCTTGTGGCTCCCACTTTTCTCTTTCGAAACCTTTATGTATTGATTGTGCTATTGATGATTCCATGAGATCCACATATCTGACAACTTGTGGGGCAAAGACATCCCGAAGTTGCTGGTGAAAGCTACCATTACACAGGTTTTCTAAAAATAGTTTAAACAGCTATAGGACTGATAAGTAAGATATACAAATGGGCATGTACAAACACTTTATATGGATATAAGCAAATGATAAAACTCATTTAATTAAGACTTTTGATAAACCTGTTTAATATTGCATGAGGTGATGAATGAGGCAATTAGCAAATAGTATTTCTCGCATACATGAAACATACACACCATCGGTTCTGAGATAATCATTCAGCAACTGAAATAAAGGAAAACTGTCCCATGTGTCAGGAGGTTGTGCATCCAGAACTGAGTTCATGTCCACTCCAAACAATGACCAAAAAATTTCTGCATGTTCAACAAGCAAGTCACTGAACCAAGCAAATGCCTACATTTGAAAACACAAATTATTTAATTTAAATTGCTTCTTATAATATTGAAAATATTTTTTTTAAAAAACCTCACACCAATTTCATAAGAGATTTCTTTGATGATTAGTTAATCTGATTGGGGATTAGGATATTAGTCATATTACTAATAAATCAAAACTTTTTTGTAATTTGAAATGCAAAACTTTTAGACTTAAATAAAAGGGCACATCATAAAACCAAGTGGGCAATGCAGACATGCTTTATTAAAACAAATGGGTGATAAAGTGGGGATTGAAATATCACATGAAATGTTTGCACAATTTAATTATCTTTATCATACAAATAGGAATAGATAAAACAGTATTCTTAATTTTAGCTAACACGTAATTAAGGCTTTAAATTCTTAAATGATAGCAAAAGAAAAATGTAAACAGTTTTTTAATGTGCATATAACTGTAATAAATGAAGCATTCATTATTAAGTTTATTAATTTAAATTAGTTATTTTGCATAAAATAATCTGGTTTTTTTTTTTAATTTTAAATACATTATGTTAAACTTAATAATCAATAGGAATAATATGTGCTTAAAATAAATAAACTATAATTCCAATTAATGTTTTCACAGTAAGATTTATAGAAATATATGCTCATTTGTTAACAAGTGTATCATTCTAAATTAATCTCAATTTAGTCCAGAATTTGAAATTGTTTTATTATAGTAACTACAAAACTATACTGCTTCATGCAAAGTAATGCAGTGAAACATTCAGCTGGTAATGAATACTAATATTGATATGTTAAAAAATATCTACATCATATTTATTATATATCTACATGGCTAAAACTTTGAAAACTGAATGAAAACTGAGAACAGGCCAAGAGGCTTATGAACCTTAATGTCCTGAGTTGAGTCAGCACGAAATAAAAAGAAAAGTGATAATAAAGAATGGCATTGATGTTAATTTGTTACAGTTAGGTGCATAGTAAACATGGTTTAATTAGTTAATCAAATCTGTGAAGTTTAAAAAGGAAAAATACCAAAACTAAATATGTCAAGTTTTGTGCAACATTATTTAGTCCTATCTAACAGTGATAAGCTTTTGTTAGTACAAAATGCACAAGGCCTAGCATTCTGTCCACAAATACCCAATATATAAAGGCTGGTTTGTGCATGGTTAACTTAGTTGTACATTAAAAAATAGGTAATGGAAAACAAAAAGTGATAACAATATCTAAATAACTTTACACTAAGAAAATTGTGAAATAATTGAAGCTAAGTATTTTAAAAGGTTTACTTTCAAATAAAAATGGTGCTCTATTTGCAGTAGAAGTGTTTTTAAAAAAAGGATAAATATATGTCATGTGCAAATTAATTAAAAAATAAAGTTGCCATCAGTTTAATTTTTAACATTTTTATCTTCATTGTTATTAATACCATTTTCATTATCTTTCTATTTTTTAAATTTTATACTTTTAAACAATTTGTACAAATCAAATCAAACTTTTGTGCTTACTTGCAATCTTCAGTGTTTGAATTTTAAAACTATATTGTGATTACCTACCCTAAAATGCTGAAAAAAACTACATGATTTCAATTTGTTTCTAGCCGTAGGATGCAAAAAAGGTCACTAGGTATCTGCTGTGGAATTAGATGAGGACAAAAACTCAATAAAAATATTTGAGGTGATCAAATAAAAATACCTGGTGTTTAAACAAACTATTCAATAACACATATAAGAATACAGTGTGCAATGTAAATAGTGGTAAAATAAAAACACTTAAAGATGTGGAAAAATAAACAGCAGTTCAAGATGCTTCATGGAATGACTCACCGATGAAAATGCCTAATTTAGCAAAGGGAGGAGAAAGCACAACAGCACAGTGTTAATGTGTAGTCATGCAAAATACCACTGACACATATACAACAAGCGCTCTAACAGTGGGATTGGTTAGGTACTTAATTAACTATTTCTGTTCCTCATGAAACATGATTGATGATTGAAAAGGCTACACATACTTTAAAAAAATCTTAATTACATTAATTTATAATTTATACAGCATTGAATTATTAAATATCATAAACTACTTACAAGTCACTTCACTAACCAATCCAAAATATTTGTTACAGAAAATTCTTTGAAAGTTGTGGTATCATCATAAATAGTATAAAATGTGGGAGTTTGTAAAATCTTATCCTCACTATTAAAATAAATAACCTTTTTGATGCTACTGCAATGCTTGTAATTAGTATATTGTTTCACAAAAATGCACTTTTCATTTCTGTTTAGTTTTTAAATTTTAAAAGAAAGCACAGACTAACTTTACTTCTTAAAGTAACATCTTCAGGCACTATTTTTTAAAAAATAACCTTCACTGTAAATCATGATAAATTTTTAAATACAGCTAATCCATTAATGACATCACTAAAGGAGAGAGGAGGGGGTCTTTTAACTGACTGTTTGATGATGAATAAGGAGAGGCTTAAGAAATGTGACAGCATTGTATTTCTTAAAAATGTATATAATTTTAGAATTAAGCGTAAGAGGGGGGGGAAAGGGTTGTGACATTTTCTGGCCTAACTTGATGATAGTGTGTGCTGAAGGGATAATAGGAGGAAGTAGCATGACTTAATCAAATTTAACAGCAGTGCCCACCAAAATCCTCCTAAATGACAGGAGAACCCAAATCTTAATTTTTTAATACAACTATCATTGGCTACCACTTCTTGCCACATCACATGCACAGGCAAATAGTGATATGACGCTTATTTAGTTTGTTATTGAATATAATTAAAAGAGCACCTTTTGCAAAATTAGTGGCCTATTTTGATGCTAGTGCTGAGTGTGAGAAAATATTCCAAAATTCTAAAATTGGGCTAATTGAATTTTGATTTTTCTTTTACTATTGTTTTCCTGAAATCAAATCAAGTTTTTTAGGACATAAATCTTTTCACTGAACAGCATGCAATTTAAAAAGTTGAATAGTCCTCAATATTGCCTAAAAGGTTCCAAAATGGTGCCTTTTTTAAAGTTCAAAACCATCAGTATATCACACCATAAATTACCATCTATTTTAGTAATAGTGTGAAGGTTAAATATACATGCTTTTGTTTTGTTCTATATTTTAAGACAGACAATGATTTTTAAAATCCAATTCAAGTGCATAAAGTATGCTGGATAGATGAGGCAGATATTAAGGCCCTAGTAACTAGGCCAATTAATAGCCCAGGATGGAGATTTGGAATTCAAAATGGGTGGATTACACCAACAACTTACATAGTTAAGTAACAATTTGATATTGAAGAAAGATAAACTAATTAAAAATGGATCATCATCTTTTCTTGTTCGTGCCCAATACACATGAGGAATATGAAGTTCATCTGTTTCAATGACCTCAACATATGAGGGATAGTGGGGTCAACACCCACCAGTCTTGGTTTCCCTAAAACATGAGTCAGGTACCCATCAGAGCAGGGTGGACATAGGGACCAACTCTAGCCCAGGATCTGAACATGAGACATTTTTTTTCTTCAGAGTCAGCAGTCGTTATCTCTACCATCCAACCTCGCCATTCCCACAAAACTATGGATGGTCTTGGGTCACGAACTAAATTTGTATCTAAACAATTTTTAGAACCCTGAAAATGTTTTCCTGTGTTAAAATTGTATAACCCAATGTTTTTCTCATTGGAAACAGATTAAACTTAAACCTTTTTTTAAAACCTTGTTTTATTTAGCTAATAAAGTATCTGCTTAATCTAATTGATACTAATAACTAAAATTTTTAAACACAGACTCAATTCTTCTTAATCTAAAAGTATTTTTACAAAATGCAAGAAATATGGAAAACAAAATGCTTGCATATTTATATCCTGAATATACAGAAATTTCATGCCATAATATTTTCTTTTTTAATATTTGGGGAGGGGGGGGGGGGTGAGAGAGAAAGAGAGAGGGAAGAACTAGTATGTTTAAAAACCGAACCCTTTAAAAACTCCGCTCTAAAATCTTTATATTTTTAAAAATTTAGAATAGGGGTAGAAGCCGTAAGTGCGAAAAAAAAGCTGTTATTACTATTAACCTAAACTGATTATGTAATATCAGCCCTAACAAATAAAAGTGTTGTATCAATAATATATTAATGAAAAGTTTCATAGAAACTACTGTTTCTAAGACCAAAAAAAATGTACATTATGGTGAAGAACAGATGTTGAGCATGCAAATGCTTAAGAATTCCATGTGAATTTTCAGTCAGTTATTTTAACTTGAGTAAAATGTAAAACAGGTTATAGAATGCACTAAAAAATCAGAACACTCAATTCGCAAGACAAATTGGTGACTTTCCTTTTGTTTTTTGTGTTAACTAAATGTGTACTCAATGCAACTGTTTAAGTAAACAAGTGTATGCATTAATCTCATAATTAACCTGGAAGAACCCTATACATAACGCCAAAGGCAACACTTGTTGACTAAACAATTCTTTGAGAAACCTCTGAGTATAATCTCTGAGTTTTTATTTACTGTGATATGTGCAAGCATTTTAATTTCTCTCATAAAATAATTTGAATGACTGTTTACAAAAAATTGTTTTTCTTGCTGTTGAAAAGAAAAAGTAGATCCATACAAAATATTTGTGTGTGAATTAGCATTGGAACTACATGTATAATATATTTAATTGTACTAGTAACAAAAAATTCCTGGCACTTGGGTGTTATGCACCTGTGACAGTGAAAGAATTACATTTTTTTAAAATGATACCAAGTTTTAAATGTCTTTAAAATACAAATAACTTTTATAAAACAATTGAAATTTTATGTACTAAAAATGTAATAATAAAAAATAAATTATCAACAAATATTAAAAAATATAAACCTAGTATATAATTATAAGACAGAATTAATTTTTTCATGAAGTTTTAGAACAAAGCTTTTTAGATAGTACAAACATCTAAAAGAATACTTCACTTCAGAAAGACTAAGCAACATTACTTCAAAGCAAGAAATTTTTGTTCACATAACAATATAAATATATTTAGTTAACAGCTTAAAGATCTTAATAACGGACTATATTAGGTTTTAATTCCTCAACAAATCTAACGTTTCTTGAAAAAAATTCTTGTTTTAGATCACCAGAATAAATAGTAATCAAAATTCATTTTAGAGTTTAAACTAAAGGAAAATACTGCTGAGATGCTTTAAAATGTAGTTAAAAATGTGAAATAGTATATCTATGTTGTTGGTTTAATTGGTTTTTGAGTTCTTATATTTTTTAATTTTTATAATTAAATTTGTAAACTATTACAATTGAGAGATTTTCATTTGCAATCAATCTTATTTTCCTAACTGGCAGGATATTTCATACAAAGTTATATTTTATTAAAGAATTTTAAAAACATCTAAGTTCATTTACATATTTATAAAATTATTTCTTGAGACTAAGTATTGTGAAATACAGAGATAACCGAGTTGAAATCAACTTTTTGCACATATACAACCCAACCAAAAAGGAATATACAAGCAAAGGGTACCTGAAGATTGAAGTTAGAACATTAATTACCTCTGCATGATGTTCCTCATTCTGCTGCAAAACTTCAATGCAAAGTTCTGCCAAATGCATGATGTCATCAAGCTTCTTTTTAGGAGGTACATCATCTCCAAGGACTTCTATATCATTTGAAAAGTATCAATCAGATTAGAAAACTTGATAGCAAAGACTACCATTTTAAGATTTATTGTGTTTCATATAATTTTAAATAAAGAAATGCTTCACACAGAAAAGGCACTTTGACAATTTTGGAAGTTGCCAAAACAAGTTTAAAATAATTTCAGGATTAAACATTGTCAGAACTTTGATGAAATATTTTATAACCAGATGTAGAGCTATTTAAACATTGATAATCTTGTTTAAGTTGGTAGGAATCACTATCTCAAAAAATAAAAAAAGCAACCCTTACACCTTAAAGGATTTTGTCCTTAATTTAAGATGTAAGCCTTTTAAATTTTTGTTATAAGAATGATCTTTACTTTTACTGTAATTCAACTACAATTTATTTTCTTGCAAGTATCTCTCCATAAAACAGTGGTCTATACTAAAATAAACCATTGGTCTATGCCTCAATAAAAGAGCGGATTGACAAAAAATTAACATATTACTAGAACAAAAATAATTAGGAATAACTTACACTAAACACAATATAAAGCATGTAAAAGCAGAAAAGGATCATATAGGTAGATAAAATAATTTATAAAACAAAAAGCATTTACAAGAATCTGCTATGTTAAACTATTCCTGATGTTATTTATAACAAATACATCTTAAAAAGCAATGGCTATGAAGTAAATTAGGAAAGGAACAAAAAATTACATAGAACACGCCAAATTAAATAGGTGAGGATACATAGGAAAATCTGATGTTCAAACAGCATTTAGGTTAAATGTTTAAAGAGTCATCATAGAGTTTTGAAGAAAAAAATTAGTTGTTTAAAAAACAATGATAATAAGTATTTAAAACACCTAATAACTTTAATAAATTAGCATTAAGGCTGCTACAAAAAAAAATTAATTATAAAGATACATCTTAATACTTGGTTCTTTTTTTCTAAGTACATAATTTCTTTTTTAACATTTTTTATGGGTTTAACCCTTTGAATCTGTGATACTGCATTTTCAGTCAGTGTCTTAACTCTCCAAGCCCCCAAAGACTGATAAAACAGTCTAAGACACCTTACCCCAGATCGACACACCATATATTAAAATGTGATATTAAATAAGTACGTAAATAGTACTATTTGACTTGTGGCAAGTTACTGTCATGTCTGTGCCCACAAACTATTTGTTTTTGTCCTGTTAATCATTTGTAATTTATGATGAAAAGACTATTGACATTTTACCTTTGCCCACACCTACCCATATCAAAATAAGGGTCTACCTACAAGGAAGATGGGCGTACTAAGACAAAATAGTGAATGTACAAATGACTGTTAATTAAAATAAAATTAACTTTGTTGTTATGTTCGTAGTCTTTATTTTTTTTAAATTGAGAGTCTGTTAGCTCAGGGGCACGAGGATTTTAGGACCAGGGGGTAAAGGTTCAAAGGGTTAGATATAAAAATTGGAATTATGATTTTTTTTTGTAGTAAATGGGGACAGTTATTAAATCAAACTACAGTAAAACTGCAAAGAAAAAGAAACAAATAACTTCAGTTGACCAAAGACCTACAATAACAACCTAGTTTTAATGGAAGATAAGAAACTATTGCAAGGAACTTGCAACTCGTATTCATAAACAAATATACATAAAGCTCAATGTAAACAAACTAAAAAAAAAGCATGACAACAAATTTCTTTGAACAATGAAACCTAAATTTTTTCTACAGGCTTATTAATGGTGGGTAGACAGTGATGTGAAGGACATTTCAATTAACAAAAGCTAATAAACTCCTTGAGCAGAATCATAAAAGTATACCTACCACCAGCTCCTAAGGGGGCAAACAATTAGAATAACAATAATAGTTACTGGGCAAGAAGAGATGTAAGAGACAGGAATCTACTAAGAGATTAGAATGAATTTTAATATTTCAACCATGATGTAAATATAAGTAAAGTTTTAAATCATATGTTTAAGCCATTTCTGTTAACAAATTTTTATCAAATATTTTTTACTTATTAGGAGCTATATTTATCTCTTGATCTATTTAGTTATCTATTCATCACTCACAGACTTTGGTTATTTAACTACTCTAGCTACATAATTTATTTTCTATAATATTTATATACAATTCTTTATGACAAATAGCTAAACTACATTATTTGAATTAAAATTATGAAGAAAAACACTATTTTAATGAGCAATTTAGTCTTACTATTTATGGGTGATGCTTCATTAGGAAATTAATATACTATAAAAATGTATTACAATATCATGAATTGCAATATTAGACTTTGTACGCTATCAAAAATAAGTTTTAAAATGAGATCTCAAGCCAAGAAGATCTCTTCAATTTTATATTTACAGTACCTAGAACTTATGTGTAATAAAAGTTGATAAATTCCATTTTGTCTTTCAAGTTATTTTAACACCAGTAACTACTTTGAGAACCATAATAATTTTTTAATAATGAATGTATATGTTGAACTTGTTAAATTAAAACCAGAATACGTTGTACTGATATTGAAGATATATTTAAGTTCTAGAACTCAAAGAATGTAACATTAAAATCATTAGATATATGAAATGTAACTTCTATTTGATAAATACAATTGGTTAAAACTGAACTGATATACTAGGAAAATACTGGTATTTAAACAATCATAATAAGAAGTCTTTTAAAAATAAAGACAAAAACACAACCTAGAATATGCTAAACAAAAAAGAACAAAGAATCTATCACTGTTTAGTGGAATATCTAATAAAGCAAGTGCTGTGAAAAAGTAAATTTTTTTTAACTACACATCAATATGACATAAAAATCCATTTAAATCACCTTTTTTACGGCCTGCATGCCCAAAGACGAAGAAAAGATTATTATGAGAGCAACAGGTATAGACAATTAATGTAGACAAAATATTTGGCTAACTAGACCTACTACAGATGTAAGGATGTTTTGAAAATTACAATAACACTTTGCTTTAGTGTTGACAAACCAATTATTATATGGGAGGGTAGGGGGAGGGGAAGGGTCCATTAAACTGTAACAAAAATAACATTTTAAAACCAAAGATAATGGATCTTAAAAAAAAACAATATCAATTTTGAAGATATTTATCTTTACAAAAAATGCTATTCAATTTAATTCTGTAATGAATTTTCTTTCATTAAAATTACTCATACTTCCAATTCCATTAAATAAAACCAAATACATACCTTCTATTTTTGCATATTCTGAAATTCTAGTATAATTAACAAGAGCAGCATTCTCTAAGCATTTTTTAATGACTTGTCTAACTTCTTCAGGAGGTACAGGAGTTACTATATCTTTCATAAGAACCTAGTTCAAATATAATAAAGTGGCATTAATAATGATCAGTTTTTATCACCTTAAGTTCACAATCTAATTCAAATATTCATCTGCGAATTAAACTTAAAATGTGATCACAAAGATTTACCCTTTCCAGCAATGACAAAGTAGCCTTCAGTGCTCCTTCTGGGCGACCAAAGGGAAAGCAGTATCTGAAATTCAAATAAAAATTAGTTTTCAAAGAGTAACAAGTCAGAAAGATCATAATTTTTATTTCAAGGACAGTTATTAATTTTACAAAACAAAGATTTAAGTAAACATTTTTTTTCAAAATCCTTAAAAATAACCCAGATGTAATGATAAAAAATAAACCGGTAGTGATCTCCCCTAAACTTTCTCGAATATTCTTATATAAAACAACAGGGGATGGTAACTGGGGATATAGTTATGATTTTTAATCCATTTTAAATACTTAAACTTTTAAAAATAGAATATAATCTCATAAAAAAAACATTGCGCACCAAGCAAACGCCGAATAAAAACGCGTATAATAGTGCGCAATATTATTAGTACTTTAAAAATTTACATTAGTTTTTTGAGAAATCGGAAGTAGCGTAAATTACTACTTCCAGTCAACGGAAATTACTCAAAATTTAACAGAAGGTAGAGAATTAGATCTTTTACTTACATGTGAAATTTCATTTATCTATCTGAAATAGTACTCAAGTTATAGGCTTTTAAAAAATTCAAAGTAGGAAAAGTACCACTTCCGGTTATCGGAAATCGCTCAAAAGTTGATACGGATCTACGATTTTGATAAAATACTTATATATGAAATTTCATCAACCTAGCTGTAACGGTACTCAAGTTATCGTGTTTACACACGGACAGACACACACACAGACACACACACAGACATACTGACAGAATTGCAAAGTCCAGTTTTTCAGACTGGATTACGCATAAAACCTCTTAATTTTGATAAATCTGGATTGATAATTTTTGCCCGATTAAAATAAGTCCTCTATACTTCGGATGTGATGAAGGACTGAGGTGTAATACGGTGAAAATTGTTAAAATTTCAAATGATTTTTGTGCACGATTACAATACTTTCTCTATACTTCGTATATACGAGAAAGTAAAAAATGATAAATAAATTATTTTGAACATTTAAAAATAACAACTATAGATTTTAATGTTTACTTTTAATTTCAAACTTAATTATTCAAACCTAAAATGTGTTATTTGGTTTTCCAAAAGTATCCTTAATCTTTCTTTGATTTCATCAAATGTTGTTCTTTCTGCTTGTAAGACTGTGCCTATTCCATCAGGCCTAATATAAAAAATATCATGTTAACTTTGTAAATGTAGTGTTGAGCAGAAATACATTCATTTTAATTAAACCTAAATAAAAAAAACATTTTTACCATTATTTACATAAATGTAATATAATTGCTGTGTAAATATTATAAGAATAAATTACCTATTTCCATGAACATGTGAGGCACAAAAGGCAAAGCTATAATGAATAAGTGTAGGATCAATTAAAATCCCCTTTTCTGCTCTCTCCAGTAAATCATTCAAATAGCATAGATGTCTGTGACAACCTCTTACTCCATAGCGAGAGCAATACTCATCTAATACAAATACTTGACCAGGACTAAACCATCCCTATTAGAGTAAAACAATTTATAAAAAAATAAGAATTTGTTATTCAAAATCATGTAGTGAGGTTAAATTGTCTGTTAATAAATTGGTATTCATGGCAATGGTTCTTTTTATACAAGATGCATAAAATCTTCAGTCATATTTAAACATTACCTTTAATCTTCAAAATTAGATAATTATTTTTTGAAGAAATAATATGGAACTATATTTTAATAAATACACTTTTTGGCTAAGGATATTTATAATTATTAATATTATGTTTGTTAGCATAGTAGACAAGACAAAAGAAACTTTACAAAACAAACAGACAAGACAAAAGAAACTTTACAAAACAAACTGATAAACTAAATGTAGATTTACCAAACAAGTGTAAGCATCAGCCAGCCTATAGTCCAATGTTAAAGTCTGTAGTATACTAAACAGTTCATGATGTTCAAAATTGCATGGGTTGGCAAGAACAAATTCATCTAGACCGTGCTTACGAGCTCTGTCTGCATCTAAAATAGCAAACAAAAATGTTTAATGTTATCATTTAATAACAAAAAAGTGCTTTTATAAACAGCAAGGACAAGACGGTACCAGAGGAAAAATATTCATTTCAGTTATTTTGTAATGAAGTTTGGCCAAAAAGATATTTTAATACAATAGTATGACATGCTTTAACTACTTGATATGACTTTTTCATAAAATTTTTCTTATTAGTAATATTTAGTTGCAAATTTGGAGTAGATTTTAATTCTAATGCGGTATACACTTTTGAAAGTTCATTTTCAAAGGGCATTTTATGTTAAACGTTTTTTAAAAACTAAAATAAAACTATTTAGACAATACAAAATTTAAAAACAAAAAATGTTAAAACCAGCAGTGGGTCTACTTAGGATCTGAGAGGAATTTTTAGTACTTTGTAATAATTTTTAATATTTTAACTAATAATCTTGTTTTTGAAATCCAAGTAATATCTTACAGTAAATGCAGGATAGGAGAGATGAAGGGGGCAGAAGTATTTCTAAGTAACTCATGTTAAACAAAATTGTGATTAAGGATAAATTAAGTACCATGGGATACTTTTTTAAAACTAAAAATTACCCATTGACCTTTTCTTAATAAAGTAGTAATAAAGAAGTTTAGAGCTTCCCAACAAGTAAGGTACATTAGTATTAAGTTTTAAATAAATATACAAACACAAATTGATATTAAACTCTCTGCAATAGGCCACATACAATTTTTAAGTTGGGAAGCTCCCAATTTATAAAGCATAAACTTACAATTAACATACTCTTCTTCTAAAAACAGAGCTAGATTTTAACTGACAATTTAACACCACTAAACCTAAGCTAGAAGTGTTCTACAGCTATAATTTACCTAGATAACTTTTTTGGTTTTGTAGAAATTTTCATTTTTATTAAATGTCTGCTTTTGTGAGAAATCATAGAATTATTTTGTAATCGTTTGATCCCTAAAATGGTAATTTTTCCTGTTGTGCATGATATAATAATTTCCACCAATCAATGAATCGAAATTTAAAATTATATTGTTTAGTAATTAATGGTGGCAGATAACATATTTTTGAGGTGTATTTTTAATGGGCTATTTACCAAGAAAAAAGTTCTATACACAGAGTAAATAACACTTAATGATAGAAAACTGCAAATTTGTTGCAGTATATTTTGCAGAGATCCACAAAAATATGGGACTACATTTATTTTTAAAATTAAGTTTGACTTCATTAAGGTAATTAAATTTCAAATTAAGCTTTCCAGAAAAGATTAGAATTATTATCACTTAGATTATTACTCAAACTTACAAGGAAATTAGTTTTTCATGTAAGTATGATATATGTCAATATAATCATGGAACAATGATCTACTTTGTTGATGAAAAGGTAAAGTCTGCAAACTTTCAAACTTTTAAATACACTTAAAGTAAAAATAATATAACAATTCATTAAAAATTTAATTAATAAAATAGTAAAATGAATTTTTTTAACTTTAGTTTCAAAACCAAAAACTTTACAAATAAAGGTTGAGCTTTAAAACAATTGAGAATATAGCCAACTGTCTATAAAACATCTTCAACGCCTGATGTGCTATGTTTTTATGACAATAGAGAATCCATGAGCTTGATAAAGAAAGATTTTGTTTGAATTATACTATCTACTTTTTAAAAAGCTGAACCCCCTATCTATATCCACATTAGGTTAGGGTTGACCTACAACTACTACTTACTTTTAGTATCAGTTTGGCTGTCTAAAAGAAAATTATACATTTTAACAAATTACATCTAAACAGCACAAATATGCATCACCATTTAACAGCCAAGAAAAGAAAATGTACTTAAAATCTTTTGACATTACTATTGCATGCTTAGAGCTAACATAAAACATTCTAATATTGACAATGATTTGCTCTTTAGATTTCAATATGCTAAATTGATTTTTCCAGTTCTCCCATAAATTTGACTAAAAATTACCGCAAGTTTTATTTATTATTATAAAAATAAAATGACTTAAATATTCTAATGACAACAATTAAAAATACATAAAAGTTATTAGCTCAGATTTTTATGTCCAGTTGAAATAAAAAATAGTTAAAATAATGTCACTTCAGGTTATTTTGAATAAATCAGCTATGTATGTCATTTGTTTTAACTATGCACATTACAAGAAACTAATTAAAAAAGTATTTTGATTTTTAAACAATATCTTAGAAATAATACAACAAGTTCCATTTTACATGCATAGAAACAGCTGAATTTTTTAAAAAGCATATTAGCTTCAAGATTTTAAATTTATTACCTCCTTGCATACGTGAAATCTGTGTGTTTGAAATTTTGTTTGTTTGTACTACTGGTGGTACAGGTTTATGTGTTTGGCCAGTTGCTCTGTAAATTGCTTGGACCCACAAAGTACGCTCTGATTCATCTTCAGTAGCAAAATTTAAACTGTCACCTTCTTTTACCAAGTTGAAGAAATTTTTCCCACCATCTAAATCTGAAAAAAAAAGGTTATAAGTTGCAACACGTTTGCTTCAATAAATTTATAAATGTGGCTGTACCCTAAAACTGTAATCTGTCAAAAAATCTATCTCCACAGACATTTAGCCTAGTGTTATTAACTTTGTTTTTTGTGTTTTATTCTCCACATGCACATCTCAAATACCTTGAAGTGGTTCACAGTAATCTACAGTGAAACCTTCTAATTGCATCATTTCTGTAGGATCAGGCTTCTTTTCTCTATATGAGCACATTGCAAAAGTATACTGTGACACCTGAAAAACAAATAATAATAGATAATCTTAATTTTTTACTACACTTATTTTAACACAGCTAATTTAATGTTTGTACATACTTTAAATTACTATTTTATCAAACAAAAATTTACTATATTTAGGGAGAAATATCATACCTGAACAAGAACAAAGTACCTTTTCTTCCACTTTTTCCAAACTGTTTTACCCAAAGCATACAGATACCTATGAAATATAGAAATAGTCTAACAAAACAAAAAACACAAATGCAAGTAACATATTGGCCACAAATCAAAACCTGTTATGCATTGTTATATATGCAACAAAATTGATCTGCTTACCCACAATGCTTCATATTTTGTGGTTTGTCCATTCTTACTGCTATTTTAATTCTAAGATCATCAGGAAAATTTTTTGTTTTATGCATGTGGTGCCATTCTGGAGTTCGAGAACTATTAGCAGTAGGTCTAATGACAACCTGTAACATTAGTATAATTAATGCTAGATCTAGATAAATCTTTAAAAATACTAGTTAAATAATAAATTATTATTAGTTAGTTTTTCTTCTGCATGATTAGCATTGCCAATCAAAATCAGATTGGCTGAATGTTTAGATCATGGCTTACTGTTTTAAATCTTATATCAAAGCTTCAACACTTTATATTCTAAAAAGAATATTTTGTATAATAAACATAGTAATTCAAATTTAACTTAAATTTTGGGGTGATGAGGCTTGAAATATGTATCAACATAATAATAAATTACCTTTCCTAATTCTTTATCTTCTAAACTAAGCATTCCAGAACTTTCAGTATAAAGTTTAACTTTAACAACTGGAAGTGGATGTGTGGTTGTAAAGTCACCTTGTGTGTCCCATCTGAAAAAAACCATTTATGGATCACTTTTATGAGCCAGTTTATTTTTTTATTTCATAATGGAAAGTGAAAATAATGTTTTTAAAGAAATGTTTAGGTCAAAAGATTTCTCTACATAAAAGTAAAAAATTAAAACTAAAACTGACTGTGGTTTTGATGCCTCTGCTTGATCTGTTTGTAGCTTTTCTCCTCCTTCCACCTCCATTGTGCAATAGACAATTTTATTTGGGGCAAGTGATTTCAGTCCTTTAACTTCAATTACATGAACCTTCAAACACATGTTTTGTAGATTAAATATATATTTGAAACAGAAGCAAGATACAATTAACATTTCCCACAACATGTTTTTATTCCTGAAACTCCTGTCCAACTAGCATTGGCCCAAAGTAAAAGTATTCACAGGGGAGATCAAATTTTTTTAAAACTTAATTGCAGTGTGAATATAAAAACTTCATTATGCATTTTCGTATTGCTCTGGTCCATTTGTGATGGATTTATATTTAATTAATAATTTAGCTAATAAAACAAAAAGTTTATAAGAGACGCCTAAATAATTAAGTTTTTTTGTCATAAATGTTATATTAAAACACAAAGACATACTGACACATCAATCATAGGGAATTTTTAATTGATTTATTGAATTTTATAATAAAAATGCATTACAGCAACAAAGAGGGCTTTGCATTAAAATAAACTCTTTCAAATGCCACAAAATAAAACATTAACCAGAATAGTGTAAAGAAAAAATTATATTGGTTCAAAATAAATAAACTCTGATTTTAAAACTGTGATTTTACTTCACGATTACTGAGAGTATGCTAAATAATACAAAATATTTTCACACACAAACTGATCTGAGAGTTGCCAAGATGATAGTGAGTTAGCTCATCACTCAGGTGGTATAGGTATGGAACCTAAGCAGTCATTATCAATAATTTTTGTTTCAATGTTCCCACCCAGAAAGTGGACAGAGGGTAATCTCAAAACACATGAATGGCTCTAAATCATAGCTATTTTTTTTACATTTGCAGTTCGTGCTAGAAAGAAATTGAATGTGACTTCACTTCTAGCAATTTTATTTCACCACATCCTGCAGTGATGGAGGAATATCAACACCAATGCAATGCATACACAAGGGACGTGCTACTGCTAACTCACGCACAGCGCTGGTGATTTGCTAATATATACATAAATTAGCAAATTTTGTAACATTGATTCTCAAATATTAAATTTCTAAGAAAAATGTAAGGCTAATATTAACAAAATTGTCAAAACCAATTTTTTTGGTCCATTTTAACAAAAATGATCTGGTCCCTTAGGTCAATTGGGTCAACATACCAAAAACTAAAATTTTAAATTGTTGTTAACAAACAAACAAAAAAATATCAATTTACCTCTAGAGTAAATGTCAGTACAACATCCATCTTGGAAAGGCCTGGATCATTGTCTTCATTAATGTCCGATTTAGAAAGTGATGAATGTTGGGCCCTGTAACAAACAAATTATGAACCATTGGTCCAAACAATGGTCTACAATAACCAAACTTTTTTTTTTCATTTTTAAAGGGAGAGAATAAAATTACTTTTTTAAAATTCTATCAGTTCTTTGCCTTCATAAAAATGAGTACATTAACAAGAATTAAAAATGAAAATCATAATTAAGAAAAGTTTTGTAGGTAAAATATCTTATTTTAGGTTAATTTGTAAAATAAATCTGAATGCTGATCTCAGGTATCTAAAGTTAGTGCTTTTTAAAAGCTGTGTTTTTTTGCAAACTCAGATTTGAATGACTTTTACAAAGTTTATGATGTGTATAGCTTTATAATTAAAACTATCTTAAGTTCTAATTTGGATATGTATTTTTTTTTGTGAGTAACAATAACAGACATTTTAAGAACTTAATTCTTTTTACCTAAATAACTATATAGCGGTATACAAATTGTTTTGCTTACAATCTATTATGCTAATTTGAGAAGTATGTATTTTACAGTATATTATTATTGCAAAACATAATTTTCATTTTAATTACTAAAATTAACTTTTTTTAGTCATGTCAAAATATTTAATGAACACAGTACCATGCACTATACATAAATATATGTTTACACTTTAAAAAGCAAAGAAATGTTTGCACATGCTTTCAAAAAAAGTGCATTAGTTTAAACAAAGGACTTTAGGGCCATGCAAATATTTAATTTCTGAAATTGATACATACATTTTTTTAAAAAGTTTACAATCAAATTTTTATTGATTCATTTATATATATAATAAAAAATGTATATTATTAAGCTGATTACTATGTAAAATTGGTTGCTATATTTTGGTAATTATAAATGCTGATAACTAAAAAAATTAACAATAAAGGAAAAGATATATTAGGATAAAGATTATATTAACAATTATAAGCTATTCTAGTAAAATGGGTGGTTCTAGATATTAAACCACCTACCTTCTTTAATCAATTAAATAAATGTAAAAAAAATAATATAAATAACACTTTGGCTAGTTAAACAATTTCAGTGAAATTAAATTTGCATTAAAACCATGATTAGATACAATTTTAAAATCAATGCTTAAAATAAGAAAGGCAGCTTCAGGGAAAAAATTGTAAGACATAAAACTAAGCTTTTACTTTTAGTAACAGGAAATGAGATGAGCATAATTTGTAGGAATAATTAAACAGGGTTTATAGATGTCTAAAACATTATTAACAGAGCACAATAGCACTTTGAAGAACACCTTAGTTTAAAAAAAAACAACCCAGGTTTAGTTTGCTTGATTTAAATAATTTAGTTTCTCATTTCAAAGCTACATGAATCTCACTGTTACATTATGGATCTTACTATCTTATATATAACTATGACTGGTTTATTGAGATGATTCTGTTTGTGCCCACTTGTATAATTTGTGCACATCATACATGGACAAGTAAGATTACATGGGAACAAAAGCAAAAATGAATTTACATTTTAAAAATTCACCTTTATTTTCTGGATCTAAAGTTAATATGTAGGGAAAACTTATTCTAGGGCAACTAACACTCCACCCAGGACAATATATTCAGACTGGGAACAGAGTATGTAGATAACAGGCACCCCCTTAATTCTAAAAGATGTAGGCACAAAATTATGTTGATGTGAGGGTTGCTAAAATAAAAGCTTTTCTCTTCAATGAATGAGCATTGAGAAAAACTTAACGAAAAATAAAAGTTATGTTAGCCTTATTTTTCCCCTACGTTAGTAATATTGTAAACCATTCATCTAGACATATTGAGAAAAAAATATATAAAGTAGGTTAGAAAAAAAAACATATAGGTCAATAAAATTATTCAAATATACTAAATATATTAAAGGCATTGAAAACTTGTGAGAGAAAATTGCTTAAAATATAAAATATTTTTAAAATGTCACAAATAAACATCTTTAAAAATTATCTACCTATATAAAATCTTTAAACTCAACAAATTAACTTCTATTCTTATAAAAATGTTTCCTCCGTTTTTACTTTCTTGTATTTTGAGTATAGGAGGAGGATTGTAATAAAAAAAAAATCAAAATCAAGATTTATTTTACACCATCCTGAGTTAGAAAAATCCAGTTTTGTAATCTTGCCTTGAGTCCATTTCAGTTAGGTGAAAGAAATTTCATACATTAGATCTTATACATAGGTTTCTATCAACTTTTGATCCATTTCCTGTAACCTTATCTGGTACTTACTTCGCTATTTCGCTCTCAAAAAACCAATAACTTAACTGCAGTTTCAGTTAGGAGGACAAAGTTTCACAAAAAGAAGTAGTAGCTTGTATTTGAATGTTGCTGTAAAATTTTGAGTGATTTCTGGTTACAACAAGCGCTACTTTATTCTATTTCCATGTGAACATAATTACCCTTTTAGTTAGTATAAAATATTATGTTTAGGTTACTTAAATTTTTTAATGATTTCTGATATCCGGAAGTGCTTTATTCTATTTCCGGGTTCTAAACTATCAAAAACTCAAGTATTGTTTAAGTTAGTTGGACAAACTTTTGGAATCGAAAATAGTATTATACCCTTTTTCTGTGTACTTTATTTCCATGATTAAAGACAGACAAAATTTCATATATAACATAAATATGTAACATATAATAAACCAGTATTTAGTTGAATTTCATCTTTTGATTAATTGCCAATATCTGGAAGTGGTACTTGATTCTTAAAATACTCATAAGTTGTAAGTATTAATAATATAAATACGTTTCTATCTAAATTTTAAAGCCAACTTTATACAATATTCTCATAAGGCACTTAATTTGAAAACCTTTTTAAAAAGTTTTCTTGGTTTTGTCACAAACTTACTTACTATTTCTATAGCCCAATTCTACTCTAAGTGCCATCCCAACTCTTGGAGATATTTCCTGGTTTTGTTTTGATATAACTGCCTCGAATTTCCAAGTAAAAAAATGAAAGGGTGTTTTTAGATTACAAGTAATAATTTATAAATACTGGAATACATTTTTTAAAGAATCATTAAAGCTTTGTAGAAGGTGAGCTAATTTTCTTAAGTTTGTTTAAGCACAAAGTAAATTATTGTCATGATGGATGAGTCGGCAAAAAAAGCTCATGGTTGATAAATTCGAACAGTCTCGAGTTCAACCCCACTGGCAGATAAATCTCGATCCCCTTCAACACTAATAATTAAGAACTAAGAAGAAGAAGAAGAAGTCATGATGGATAATTCTATCAAAATGTAATAATTCATACATATATATTTATACAAATTTGGATTCACACTTTAACCCTTTCAGCACTAGTTACAGTTATCACATTTTACAGTCTAAGGATTATTTCACACCCAATGGCATTACATGTTTGCTATTTGATATATTTTGCTTTTGATAGTCAAACCAAAGAGAGATGGCAAAGTTATTTCAAGCTATTTGATAATTTTTTCAAAATAATTTTTTTTTCTATTGTGCAGTACACTTTGAAGACAATCATACATTTATGTTATATGATTTTTTTAAAATTCTGTTAATTACCAACAATTTTAAAAGAATAAGTATATATTCATACCACTGGTTCAATTTGGGGTTGTATTTTTAGGCTTTCAGTTAAGTAAAATGTGTAGTTATATTCCAATTTATTTTAAGACATATTCTCACAGAGTTAAGTCTCTTTTCCTATGGTTGGGGGTAGAAATTAAGTGATTGTGAAGTTAAGGCTGAAAGGGTTAATTACATCATTAAGCACAAAAGTGTATAGCATCTAAGTTCTACTTGATGGTATGTTATGATGAAAAATGTTTCTGTATTTATTATAATCATAGTAGTAATTTGTTTTTTTTTTAAAGAACAAGGCACTGTAGTGCAAATACAAGTAATTTAACAAGAACTGAAAAACTTGTTTTATTTCTTAGTTCAAAGAAGCAGTGCTAAAATCAGCTTTGATTCACTTTTATAAAAAAAAATATATTAGAACATCAGAGAAAAGATAGAAGTCTCAGTTGTTGTTTTTTTTGTTTAGTTTACTTGATTTTTTTTTCACTTAGTATTATGCTAAATTGATTACATGAAATATTTCCCATAAAACACATAATTATAATTTAAAATCTTGTAAATATTCAGTCAATCAAAAAATAATTAAGAGGTGAAAGGTATGTGACGCCTAGCTAGTATGTGTTTAGCAAAAAAAAATTATACAAAAACCCAAGCACAAAAAATACCCTGTTTGGGTATTAAAAAAGATCCATTTACTCTACACAAAATTTTTAAAAATATGTAAACATGCTATATCTGTTCACCTAAAACTTGCCCTTTGATTCCAAGGTGGTATAAAAAAAGCATTTGATTAAAAAGATCTTACAGTACATATTTTAAAATATCACCATTCCATAACTTAAAAAACTAGCAATTAGCTTATGTTTAGCCATATAAAATAAACTCACCATTTCCACAAAAAAGAAAAAAAAAAGTATAAATATAAATAAATCAAAGGCAGTAAACCATTCAGCTGATTAGGGTACATAATTTACAAGAAAAAAATGTCCTTATTAGACTGATGAAATGGTACAGAAAAAAGAGGTACACCATACATATTTAAGTATTTAAAAGACCATTTGGTTTTTTATTTTTACAGATAACTGTTATATCCTTAAGAATTTGAAATAACGAAACTTTCTTTGAAAATTAAAAAGAATTTAAATGAACATTGTTTACAATATGGTTGAAAAAATAAAGTTTGCTTTGTAGACTATTGAAAATTGCAAAATGCTGTTGCTTGACATCTATAAACTAAAATTACAATATTCTTATCACTACTTATCTACTTTTTTTTCTTGATGAACAATACTATTATTACAAGTGCTATATGAAATCAATCCACATACTAAGAAATAAGTTTTAAAAAATATTTCTACAAGGAAGGGTTTTCAATCTAGGGGGTTAAAAATGACCACAGATTGGTCCACTTGCAAAGTACATTCCCGAATAATTTATTGATCTAAAGGACTATATAAAATAAAAGAAACCCACAATAACAAACAAATAAGGAGTGATGAAAAAAACCATAAGTATAGGAAACTCAGCACAAATATGTTTGCAAATAAATCATAAATATAAAGAGTTGCCAACACTATTTTTAATACCTTGTAGGTGAAGTTTGGGCAGCAGGCCTGCTCAGCAGAAAGGTTAACAGTAGAACAAAGGGTATATATTGATTTAAGAGTTATAGATATGGCAATATGGGCAATGTTTACCAACAACCATAGATCAGCTGTCTTATTTTTATTAGTACTTAAAGCTGAATTGTTTTGTTTTTTTTATTTTGTTCAGGGAATAATGATGGCTAAAAAGGTAGATTTATAATAATAATAAAAAATTACAGTGTTTCCAATGGTAATCATTATTCTCTGATTTAAATTTTTAAAAAGGCAGATTTTTAAAATTTAAAAAGCTATTGAAGAACAGTAAAAACTTAGAGAAAAAAAGAAACAGAACAAAGCTCAGACCTGATTAATTATAAAATTGTGATGTAAAAAAAAGTTGACAGGCAGAAATTTAATATTCTTCTTTGCTATAAACAAAAAAATGTGCTTAAAAGCTTTAAATATAGTTTAAAATGTTTTTAAGTATTACTTTTTAAAAAAAACTGACAGCATAAAAAAAAGTATTTGTGTGTTTAAGAAGTACAGTCGACTGTCACAAAAAGTGAATTTTGAATAATATTCTAGGATATAAGGATAAAGTACCTTTTGTATTAAATATTTTAAATATAAATAACAAATAAATATGCTTTTTTTAAAAATGATGGTACAAAACAAAAACAAAATACGTGCACAAATAAAAATACCTGTTGTAGCGTTTCAGCTTTTGCAAAGAGTACTTTGAATCAGTTCCCCCCTTTGAAACTGGCAGGCTTTCAAGGTTGGACTTTAGAAGATTGATGGAAGACTTAAGCTCCTCTAAATACATGCTTTCCATTTCTTTCACAACAAATTTTGGGTGTCTTCTAGTCTGTAGGTAAAAGGAAAAAGAAAACAAATATAAAGGTGCTTGTGGTATTAATATACTAAATATTGCATCTAAGTTTTGAGTGATTTTATTATGTACAGTATATTTGTTCCCCAATTATTATACTTGGTAATAAATTAAAAACAGCTAGGGAGTGATAATACTTACTCTTGCCATTTGTTCAACATTATGAAGTCTGCCATCTAATTCACGCCTTACTTGTGCTGCTTGTTCATCTGCATTATCTAACTGAAATTAAAAAATTAGATGTTAAAATTAACCAAGTACAATAGAGATTGAGGGATTTTTCAGATGAAAATACCTTTTGTTAGTGTATATAGATCTAGACATCAAATTGCTCAGCTATTATCTCCCCAGTAGATATCAAACAAATAAAGTTTTTAGCTACATATTATTTATCAAAATCTTTTTAATATAAAAATGAATATAAAAATAATTTTTACAGATGAGTCAAGTTAAATAGTATTTACTTAATAACTTCCTAAATATTTTCAGTTTTTTTTTTAAAAGTGTTACATTTTTTAAAACTATTACTATTAGCAGTACTATGAGGATGGGGGGAGAGAGTTGCAAACCTAGAAACAAGAGACTTATTATTTTAAACACATGCAACTATTTTGTTTTTTAACGCTATTTTGTTTTCAATAGAAATCCTGTTACACTTCTGAAAATAAATTGCATTACTTGTTTCACTAACTTTAATTTGTTCTTCAAATACTTTTTACCTAGAAGTCTATGCATAAAATGAAAAAATTGTGCAAAAATAGGGAACAAAAAAAAAACTTCAGATAAAATGTAAATGCAAAAAGGATTTTTTTTGTGCTAAATTCAGGGACAGTGCAGCTTTCTAAAAATAGAACTTTGTTAACCTAGAATATAAATGATCAATAGGGCTATGAAACGTTTAGAGTAGGGACGAATAATGATGTTGATGAGAAGCCATTTGAGGGATGCAATCAATAACAATAGGATGCAAGGAAGGATAGAAAATATACATAGAGAGAGAGAGAGAGAAAATAAAAAAGTGGGTGGTATGAGATGGGATTTAAACACAGTTTTGACTTGTTTTCCCAATAAATTGAGCGTCATTACATTTCTACTGTTTAAAAGTCACAACTTGGTATCTTCAAAAAGTTCTATTTCTTTTAGATTTTAAACTTGCTACAGTCTATAAAAAATTAAAATAATATAATCAGTATTCTGTAAATGCTGAGTTAAAATGATGAGAATATTCTGTAATCTAGTCTGGAAAATATTAATTTATATTATAAAAAATTTCTGATCTTTTAAGTTTTCACAGCAGACCCCTAATTTCATTCTGGAGAAAAAAATCACAGCTAACATAACAATGGGTGATTATGACCTTCAGAGTAATCAGGGAATAGCTATGGGCCAAAAGCCAAAAATGCTTTTTAGCCACTAATCTTTAGAATTAACTTTTCAGTTCTATTTTTCATATAATTACTGACAAGTATAAAAATATATTTTAGCAAAGATTCACAATGCTTAGAAAATGTACATAAAAATAAACATTACTTCAAACAAAACATCTATTCAACTCTTATTATCTAAGGATTACATGTGTTAAATTTAAATAAAATAGAAAACCTTAGTTTTCCTTCTGTTTAAATGGGAATGATAAGCAAAATAAAAGCTCTTACCCATTTTATTATTAACTGGCTATAATCATCTTGTCCACTGTCAAAAGTGACCAGTGGCTTTAGCCACAGAAAACAATCTTTCTTTCCCATTAAAACTTTATGAATTTTAATAGATTTATTTTGTAGAGCATGCCCAATGTTTTATAAGCCACTGTTCCTAATTAAAAAAGTCAAATTCCCTTTTCAAATTTGATGGTGTATAGGGCAAGTGAAGAAGAGTTCACTTGTTTCTGTGACCTCGGCATATGAAGAGATATTGTGGTCAGCACTATGCCCAGCCGCCTTTACTTTCCCTAATGTGAGTTAGGTACCCATCAGAGTTGGGTGGACTCAGTGACGGTGTACTGACTTGAACCCGGATTCGAACTCCATACTTACAGGTTAGCAGTCCAGCTCTCTACCGCTAACCACTCCGTCCCTACTGTTCATAAGCCTATGTTCATAATTTTTATACCTCTGAGGTAAGGTAGTGATGAAGAAGAAAGAAATAGATCATGAGCCTGATGTGGCTTTACAATAAAGTGTACAAAAATAATACTTGAAAATGATAATTGCTTTATACTAAAATATACTTTGCACCAGTTTTAGTCAATACGAGCCGAACTGCGGCATATCATACGCCGCTATTTAGTTGTTTTATTTTCTACTTTTCAGTAATTCATAATTTGTGAATTCGACAGTACCAATGCTGCCACTGAAAATATTTGCTTTAAAACACTATCAGTAGGTCGTTAAGAACAATACTACCCCCCACCCTCCTTTCCCCCAACCCCTACCCTACACCCCCCCCCCCCCACCGTGAAAGCAGCCTCTTCTTAGTTACCTCCCCTAAGTTTAAAATAGTTTCAAACTAAATTATCTGCCCCTAATAGCCGTCAATAAACCCGCTCTATGATTGTAAACATTTAGCCTGAACCACAGCTCACCAGACCATGTAGGGGTGGGGTGGTAGGAAGCGCGCTTACAGCTTGTTTTCTACCGTCTCCAAGAAGAGAATTATATATATAGATGGGGGAATGGCAATTATTATAATTTTATAACATTTTATATTTTTTCTCAACACTTTCTTCTTCGTTCTTAATTTTTAAAACGTTTGACTGCTTTTCTTTCGGGATGTACTTCCATAGCTTTTGCGTGTCCAAGAAACATCTGCAAGGCAGCAGTTAATTTTAAAATTTTTATCTCTCATTTGCTTGGGGTCAGAGCTTGGGGTTTTTTGAGTTGGCAATCATGTGCTCTCCCACCTGACCACTGTTAACATTTAGTTACAGACAATGTTAAATCACTATAAATTACTAGCACTGCAAAGTATAAATACACTAGATATGTTATTGAATTAATAATAATATACAGGATGAGTTTTGAGAGGACTATTAACAGAGAGGTTAATAATTGTTTTACTAGGGCTCTCCTCTTTAAAATCTTTATAATACTGCTGAGCTCTTTTATTAGGGGTGTCAAACTGATTTATTAAAACAGTCCCAGAGCTTTTTTGAAAGTTGTTATCTCAAGAACTCAGGATTCTAAGATATTGGGTACTAAATTTGTTAATATATCTCAAGTAGTAAAAAAGTTATGTTTTAAAAGTTGCTTTTTAACTTTTTTTTTCAACACCATAAAAGGTGCCATGTTTTAGAGGTTACATCTGCAAAAGTATATGACACAAAATCTTTTGAACTCAACACAAAGCCACTTACTCAGAGAACAAACTCAATTTTTTTCAAACCTCAAAAAATGTACATCATTTAAATTAATTGCATTAAAATTGGCTTTTCTCACTTTATGATAAAATTAAAAAGGGAAGTAAAAAACACACATTTTGTATTTATTTTTTTTAAAATCCACCAAAAAATGTCTGATGAAAGAGCATACTCGATAAGTATATCAAAATGTAGGGGAATAACACTTCTTTGAATTTAAGTAACCTGTATGCCATGTCCGTTTGAAACACATGTTTAATCAGAAGAGTGAAAGGGTTCACAATCTGTCAAAAATGCTTCTGCTTTAAAAAATTACAAAAAATAAATTATGACACCTGCAGTACATCTGGCTATATTGAAATACAGAACAACCATAGCTCTTAACAGGTAAGCAGTGTTTGTATCTGTAACTTATTTATATGCGATCCAATGGTGGCTGGAACAGTGCAAGGGTCCCATAATGAAAATTATTTTTGTCTAAATAATTAAAAGTTTCTAGAACCAGACAAATTTTTATGAAATGTAAAGTAGGGCCTATACATTATGTACTATTTAGTTTAAAAATCATCTATGAACTTGGCGCGGTTTCCTACTTTAAACTAAACCCTTATATTGTTGACAATGGCGACAAAAAATTACGTGGAAGTCTAATCATTGAACAGAGTTGTATCTTTAATAATAAAAATATAATGAAGAAATAAACTATAAAACTAGACTCACAAACTTGTTTATTAAGTAGCTATGGCTTTCTTTCTTCCACCGGGCCTAGAGCGATTTTAGTGATTACTATAGTGTGTTTTGTCGAGCTCTGCCTTTTGTGACCTTGCTCAGAATCACATGCTAATTTTCCAATTTCTTAGTTTTTATAACATTTAAAATATTTAATCTATTATGCATTTTTTTTTTGTTTAGCATCACACTAAAGGCTATTCAATTTTGCACATTTTACAATATTTGTATAGAAATAAATTGAACAGTCAGAAAAGGCCCGCGAGTTGAATGAGAGAGCGGTCAAAATCTGTTACTTGACTGCTGTTAAAAAATCATCTCATTGATACTTTTCAATTGGTAAATGAGATATATTGAGTATTATCAAACACAATAAAATTATGCATAGTTTACATTTTATGTGATATAATTTATACCAGCCTATTGGATAGCAGGATGTCTTTGCTTAGGTCTCCATTACCACGTAAAAACCAAATTGTTTTTGCCTTTTTCAAAATTGTGTTTAATTATACAGAAAATACTAAAACATCAAATACATCCAATATTTAGAAGTCTGACAAAACCTAACAGTCAGGTTTTTATAACCATATTTATTTTGAAAACATAGATTTTAAAAATATTTTATACCCCTTTAAGAGACTATTCACGCTCATCTCCATTAAACTGAACAACTTTGTTTTATCATGAGTAGGTATAGATTAAGAGAAATAAAACGGGGATTCAATTCAATACAACAAAGGCATTATTTAGTGAGAGTGCATACATTATTCAAGATCTAGTCGCCTCTAGAACACAAACTGAATAAGACATAAAATAATGATAGCTTAGGGCAGCAAATGCTAAATTAATCACAAGTGAAATTGCTTTCATTAAGTAGTGTGTAAAATTGCTTTTTAAGTAGTTGTATATAACTCCATAGTCTAAGAGACCATTGGCTAATTCAAATTGTTCATTCGAAAACCAAGCACAACGTCTGGGTAGTAAGATGAGTAGAGCCAGATGCATCAGACCCTTCTCTCCACGTAGCTGATGATTATATTTTGAATAGCGCATTTAATTTCAGAAAAATATGCTGAATAAAATCATTTTCAATAATCATATCAATAAAATTATTTTATATCACCAAAAACAACTGTAA